CCCCCCCCCCCGAAATCTGGATTGAGAGGTTTCCCAAAGAGCATCCCTGGTCTAGCAGGAGTGGAAGCTACAAGCAGCAGCAAATGAGGTATTTTTGTCCTAGGTGGTGTAACCTGGTGGAGGAGGAGGCTCATTCACGTAATCCCAGCACTCTGGAGACTGAGCTGTGGCTTGTTGTTGAAGTGCCACGGGAAGGAAAAACAAGATGCTTTAGTATTTTCTAACTTGGTTATAAGGCAAGAATTTGAAGCATTTTCAGAAACTGAGCAGGAACTGAACGTGGACATTTTTTTTTTATCACATATTAACTCTACAAATCAGCAGCTACACACAAATATCCACACGTTTACTATTTATTGGGTTTTTGTTGTTGTTGCTGTTGTTTGGTTATTTGGGGGTTTTCGAGACAGGGTTTCTCTGTGTAGCCCTGGCTGTCCTGGAACTCACTCTGTAGACATAACATTCATGTATTTGTGTGTATGTCTGTGTGGCATGTGTGTGAGGCTTCATGTGTGAGGTCAGAGGACAACTTGCAGGTGTCGATTTTCCTTTCACCATACAGGTCCTAGGGATCAAACTCAGGTCACAAGAGATTGTGCATGCTGGGCAGTCCAGTCGATCTAGGCAATTCCACCAGCACCATCTCTTTTCTTTGTGTGTGTGTGGGGGGGGGTATTTACTTTTTTAAAAAAATAATCGCTGCCTTTTAAAATATTATATATGCAGTATTCTACCTACATATATTCCTATAGGCCAGAAGAAGGCATCTTATCACATTATAGATGGTTGTGAGCCACCATGCGGTTGCTGGGAATTGAACTCAGGTTCTCTGAAAGAGCAGCCAGTGCTCTTAACCTCTGAGCCATCTCCTCAGCCCCTGGCATTTACTTTTTTAAGGTTATTTTACTTTGTGTCTATGTTTTGTCTACATGTATGTCTGTACATCATATGTGCGCCTGGTGCCTGTGGAGGGCAGGAGGAATCAGATCCCCTGGAACTGGAGTCGCAGGTGATTGTAAACTTTGGCGCTCTGCAAGAGCAGCAGTTGCTCTGAACTGCTGAGCTAGGTCTCCAGGCCTAGGCAAGAGCTCTGCCTCTTGCCTATGCTGTCCATCCAGTCCCACAAGTGATGTTTATCAATAGTAAGTTGCGATTTGGAATCTGAAAACATATTAACAAATTTCTCATATCTTGATACCATTAAAATTTATCCAACATACCTTGGATTTAGTTGTGAGTTTCCTTTGTTGTTGCTTGAGTTTTAAAATAGTTTATAATTTTTTTGAGATGGGCTCTTAGGTATCCCAGGCCTCAAACTCACTATGTAGCCAAAGATGAACAATGACCTTAACTGTGATTGTCATGGTTCCACAAAAATAGTATTGCTTCTGTTACTCTTGGAAGCCTCTCCCAAATCGCAAGTGTCCAGGGGAGTCCCCTTTGTGAACTCTAGTCATTCATGTGCCCACTCTGACCTCGGAACACAAAAGTGGTTAGCACAATGTCTGCCTTAAAGTTCATAGTCCTATCGGAGAATAGAACAGGTAAACAGATGGCTTTTTCTTAGTGAATGCCATAAAAATTGCAGGCACTAAATACACTGGTAGTAATCAAATACCTGGGTATACATCCAGAAGTCCTCTCTTCAGTAGACCTTTGGCAGTATCCAAGAATCTGATGTGTATGTGTATTTAGAATCTGCATTTTAAGTAAATGCTCCATATGATTTAGATGGATCTGTACTTTGAGGAACACACTACCTCATAATAGATTTTAGATTCCCATGAAGACCATTGAGTGTCTGTTGTGTGATGTTTTTGCTCTTTTGGCTTTTTAGGGAGCCCGCCTCCCATTATCCCAAATAAATCACAGAGTCTTATTCTTAGTTATGAATGCCCAGCCTTAGCTTGGCTTGTTTCTAGCCAGTTTTTCTTACCTTAAATTTTCCTGACTACCTCTTCCCTCTGGGCTGTATATCTGGGCTGTATATCTTTCTTTCCTTCTTATTCCGTGGCCGGCCCCTGATGTCCTCCTTTCCTTGTTCTCTTGCTCCTCATTATCTCTCCTATTTATATTCTCTGCCTGCTATCCCCGCCTATCTTTACTCCTGCCTTGCTACTGGCCGATCATCTCTTTATTAGGACTATCAGGTGTTTTAGACAGGCACAGTAACACAGCTTCACAGAGTTAAAACAAATGCAGCGTAAACATAAGTCACACATCTAAAAATAATATTCCCCAACAGAAGAATCTATGTAGCTTTGGCTGTCATGGAACTGCTTTTGTAGTCCAGGCTGGCCTTGAACTCATATATCTTGCCTCTGCCTCTCTGGCTGAACGTGGAACTTACTGATTTTTGGCAGGATGAGCTGGGTAATAAGTCCCATGGGTCCTCCCCATTACTAGGTTCTAGGTACACACTGTAATATTACATAGACATTAGAGATCAGAATATTTGCATGGTAAACTTTACCAGCCAAACCATCTTCCTAGGCACAAGAATTTTCTACAAGCAGTTTTGAGTTTTCATTGTAAATCATACTGGAAAACCCACACATGATGGAGAATCCTATAATCCCAGCAATTCTATAGGAGCCTGAAGCAGGAGTATCTGAACAAGACCTATCTTTAAACAAAAACAAAACACATTTGGGGCTGTGGTAGCACAAGTCTTTAATTCCAGCACTCATGAGCGAGGCAGAGACAGGTGGATCTTTGTGAGTTTGAACCCAGCATGGTCTACAGAGAATGTTCCAATGTTCCAGGACAGCCAAGACTACACAGAGAAACCCTGTCCCTGTCTTGAAACAACAAAAAACCCAAAATAAAAACAACAAAAAAACCCATGTTTTTTGTTTTCTGCACTGCCCAGGGTGGGGTCCACACAGTAGCTTTGTTCTTGACTTGTGTTACATCTTTTTGTATTGTTTTTTTCGAGACAGGGCTTCTCCGTAGCTTTGGTGCTTGTCCCAGAACTAGCTCTTGTAGACCACACTGGCCTTGAACTCACAGAGATCTACCTGCCTCTGCCTCCCGAGTGCTGGGATTAAAAGCATGTACCACCATCACCTGGCTCATGTTATATCTTAAATGGAAACCTCCACACGATGTCTGGAGCCCTTGATATCCTGCAAATGGAGGAGGCTTCTCAAATTGCTTGCAACAGGAACCCATTTAAGTGGCACCAACCTTTACTTGAGATGAAACAGTACATCTACAAAAGGATAAATGATAGCCATCTATGTCATAAATTTGAAGAGGACCTGTGCAGTCTGAATGCTTTAATAAAACTTAGAGCCACCAATCACGCGTTGGCGTCATATTAAAGACAGAAATTAAAGCACTTTGAGTGTCATCTAACCAAGGCAAGCTAGATTTGAATTCTCTACTTTGCTCCATCTTGTTATTCCTGACTGTGTATGAATCTGAATTTCTGTCTGCTTGAATATTGTCTTTCCCTCTTTCCCTGTGTGTGTGTGTGTAACAAAGGGCTTTGTTCTCTCATTGCACAACACAGAAAGCATCACATAGGGAGGAATAAAAGATACTTTATAGAAAGAGTAACAAGGGATGAAATCACTGACTCCCAATTGACCCCAACTAACCCAGATAACAAACAAGCACAGTATCTCAATGCTGCTCCCAGCACTATGGTAAATAGTCATTTCGTAAAGAGACTTTCAGCCTATTTGCTATTTGCAGCAAATGATGACTGTAACACACAAACACTGCTGTGTGGGCTGGGGCGTGGAAGAGTACATAACTTAAATTACAAAAGCTATGCACTTGCTTAGGTTGTAAAAGCTGATTACATGGGAAAGCCAAGGCAAGTAAGGGTGGTTGTTGCACAATTCTCTTAAAGGAAGATTAAACAGGCCGAGTGGTGGTGGTGCATGCATTTAATCCCAGGACTTGGGAGGCAGAGGCAGGTGGATCTCTGTGAGTTCGAGGCCAGGGTGGTCTACAAGAGCTAGGTCCAGGACAGGCTCCAAAGCTACAGAGAAACCCTGTCTGGGGGGGAGGGGGGATTAAACAGGCTGAGTACACAGTAGAATAGCAGCCTATATTAAATCTGGCTGTGAGGTTCAGCCAAAGTTCCAGTCTTTTCCATCATCACAGACCTGGGAAAGCTGCTGCTGACAGCTTGTGCCACTGCTGCTATAAAAACCCTATTGAAGCTGGGCGGTGGCAATGCACATCTTTAATCCCAGCATTCAGAAAGCAGAGGCAGGTGGATATCCCTGAGTTCGAGTCCAGTCTGGTCTACAGAGCAAGTTCCGGATACCCAGAGCCATATAGAAAAATCTTGTCTGGAAACCCCTACTCTTCCCTCTTCCCCCCTCCCAAAAAGGTACAAATGAAAACCCTGTTGATGTCAGCATGTCTAACAGGGATACTGGCCAGTGGGCTGTGCTCAAGTTTGTTGCCCAATTACTGGCTGCTTCATTCCCAAGACTCTGAGTAAGCAGATCCAGGCAGCATGCTGGGAGCCTTAGCCTCTGGTTAGTGACTGAATGCAAAACAAACAAACAAAACAAAACAAAGAAAAAGCAAAGAAAGCTCTATCAACTTTCTACCCTCTCAAGGTTTTTCCTAATAGACAACTTAATCTATGCCCTTCAACCTAAAAAAAAAAATCCAATTAACTTAAAGGTTATTTATGTCAACTAATTAAAACATTGTTTTCAAACCCCTTTTACTGTTTGTTCTTTTTGTTTCTACAAACCTTATTTTTAGATGCATTTTAAACAAGCATACACAAATAGAATGAGGCTCAGAGACATCTCTAGGGCTGACTGGTTAAGTGTTTATATTGGGATTTTACCTGAACAAAGGGTTAGAAAACAGTGTATTTATCATGCCAGGTGTAGGTAACTTTATTCAAGATTTGACAAAAATGACCCCCAAAGTAATATAAATTTAGACACCTTAAAAAAGTCTAGATGTAAAATTTCAAAAGAAAATTGTTTCAGTTTCAAATCAATTTTAAGTCAAAAGTCAGATAAATTTTACAAATCATAAATACTATTTTCATCCTAAATTCATTATATTTCCAAAGACAAGTCACCAACATTGCTTTTTTTTCTTTGATATTGGCCATTTGGAATCAATTAACACAATTTATATCTTTAAGTTCTGAGTTTGTACCTATCCTGAATATCTTGATATAATTAAAAATATAAATCCAGAACCCACAGTTCTTCCTTCTAGAAGAATTCCAATTATTAAATATAGAAGAAATGGAACAAATAGAAAAATCACCATTTGAACGCCACAGTAGTAAATGCCACAAGCAAGACCTGCCGGGAGATAGTAGGAGAGGCAAACTCTAAGCAGAAACAGGACATTTGCATAGTCTCAAAGTATCTCTAGCAAATACTCAGTAATTACAAAGGAAGGAGGGTAAGCTTACAGCAGAGCATCCTAGAGACACCACCTCAGCAGAGTGCTCAAAGGGAAGCACACTGGAAACACATGACGACACCAGCTATCCGTATGATACAGCGCCACGGAGTGAAGACAACTGAGACACAAGTAAATGCGAGATGGGATCCAGAACAGTTAAAAGGATGCTAATAAAAAGATTAATAAAATATCTACTTTTAGCTTGCTATTGTAGCTAATATTAATAGCACTATAAAAGATGAACTCTTAATTTCGACAAATGCTTTAGTTGTTAGGTAAGATGTCAAAACAAGGGAAAGGCAGATGGAGGGCACATGGGAGCACTACTATGTTTACAACTCTTCTGTAAGTTTAAACTCATGTTACTAGTTCAAAAAATAACTTAAGATATATACACATATATGTACATTTGTGTATAATGTGTACAATATGTAAAAATGAAGGATGTGCAGAAATTGGCATCTTGGGCAGTGTAATGTGTTCTGAATCAGTCACTGTCTTGTTGGCAACACAGCTTTAAGGTTTCTCCTCTTAAACTTTTAAATGTAATTGTCGTATTTTTATAGAAAATGTTTGAGGGGTGGCTAGGCCTCACTACTGGCTAGCCTGGCACTCACTGTGTAGACCAAGATGGTCTCAGAATCAGAGATCTACAGACCTGCCTCGGAATGCTGGGGTTACAGGCACGGGTCACCATGTCCAGCTTAGAAACCCTTTAAAAGCATTTCTATATTAGGTCAAAAGGAAGAGAATGAGGGCTATAGCTCAAGATCAATACAGTTCTTGCCTAGCATACATATAGCCCTGACTCTGATCCTCAGCACCACAGAAACCAGGCATACCACTGTAATGAAGGGTGAGGCAGGGGCATCAGAACCTCTAGGTTGTCCTAGGCTACGTACAAAGTTTAAGGTCAACCGGCACGACATTGTTCAAAAACAAAACTTGTAGATATAAAACACACATGTGAGCACACACACATGCCATAGATAGGTAGGTGGGTATGTAGGATAGGTAGGTAGGCAGGTAGGATAAGTAGGTAGGTAGGATAGGTAGGTAGGTAGGTAGGTAGGTAGGATAGATAGGTAGCACGTGTCTCTCACTATGGAGCCCTGACTGGTCAGGAACTCTCTGTAGACCAGGTTGACCTTGAACTCAAGAGATTTACCTCCTGCCTCTGTCTTGATTAAAAATGTATACCACCAAATCAAATTTATACACTAATAAAATGCTTTAAAAACAGACTCTTGGATAAAATCATCAAATCTTAAATCACCTGTCTTAGTTTTTGAGACAGGATCTCATGTGGCTCAGAATGGCCTTGAATTCATGATGTAGCTGAGGATAATCTTAAGCTTGTAATCTTCCTGCCTCCACCTCCCAGTGCTGAGACAGGTATGTACCACTATGCCTGGTTTATGCAATACTGGGAATTTAACCCTGGACTTCATGCACGTTAGGCAAACACTCTACGAATTTAGCCATATCCCCGGCCTCCATACAACATTTTCGACTACGTTTCTACTCATGACACATTGGCATTGATTTGGTTCCATGTGAGTAGAAGGAATGGCTACAGGTTTAGTATCACTAATAAAAAGGCTTGCTAGTCTAGAAAACAAGTACCACTTTGATATTTTACTAAGAAACTGCTTTTGTTGCAAAAACAGATTACTGAATGCTAGACCCCACTTTAGATTTAAAAGATAAATTATTTACCTGTCTCTGTATAATAACATATATGGAAAAACAAGAAAGGCCCCTTTCTTAAACTTGGTTCCAAATGGACTGTTATTAATAATAACATCTTTCTTATGAAACAGGTAATTCTATGTAATTTATTCTATGAAATAAAGACCAAATTTAAAGAAAACAATGAGTTTTCTACTTTAGCTATGGCTGACTCATTCCCTGAGCATGAATCTCCTTTTCCTTCTATCAGCTATAAACTGAGCTCAAATCTGTTTAACAGAAACTATTAAATGGAGAACAGTATTATTAAATAGTCATATTTTTTGCTTTTGCAGTCACTATTTATACTAATTGTAGCATTTAGGTTTCATGTTTCTATCATAAGGCTCTCTATAGAAGCAGCAATAGCCAAAGATATTTTTCTTAAAAAAACAATTTCAAAACTGGATCTTTATCCAAATACAACAAAAAAAGCAAAGAAGTAAAATGTTCACAAACATAGTGATTCTATGTTAATGTAATTTCCAAAATCACCTTCCTGACTACTGTGAAAAGCAGAAGTGGGAAGAACACTAACATAACATGCCACACAAGAAGGAGATAAGTGATTGACTTCAGGAGCCCACTACACACTGCAATATATTCAAGGCTGAAAGGATATGAATTCAATCAGAACTGCCCATCTATCTGGCTGCCAGTATTTGATTATTAAACATATTACTACAAAAGGTACCAAGTAGAATAATATTACATTTGCGAACTGCAGATAATAAAACAGAGGTCCAAGAGTCTAAGCTATAATTTACACATGAAGTATATGCAGTCACAATGCACAAAAATGTGACAGTCTGGATGCTTACAAAACAGCCTGCTTGTCTCAGACTATGCACTGATAACCTGTTACATAAAGTCTATTTCCCTCCTGTTGATAAGAAGCAGCCTAGAGATGCCCATGGATTTCTTAAGGAGTAGGTCTACTTGGCAACATTGACAATTCCAGTTTCGTATTATGTTCAGTCATCTGAAAACCAAAACTGTAATGTGTTCTTCCATTCCTCTGTCAGCTTTTCAATTTCTTTTCCTTTCAGTTTGAAGCCAGAAGCTGGACTGTGCTGTTTCTTGTCACAACAGGCATTTAAAAGATGGTAACTAACCAAATTCAAGAGTTCTTCGGCCAAATTAGTAACAGGTTAACCCTTCATTCCAAATTATTTCATAATCCCTTTTTCTCTAATTTCTCCAGTATGGCCTGGATCTTACAGACAGCCTCTTTCCTGGCCTGACGGACAGAGTCCTGGCCCCCAGTCTCAACAGAATCCAGTTCTAAAAGTTCCTTTGTCAGCATTTCTTCCAGAAGCCAGTAAGCTTTGTCTGTTTTTTTCCCCACAAACTCTTCCACTTCTTGCTCAAGATACTGGACCTTCTCCAGCACATGTATGATTTTTTTAATACTTGGAGGCGTGCCTTCATCTGAAGAGAAACACTCTTCAGGGAGATGATTACTCTGAGCAGGATTGCTGGGATGGTCACTGGCGGCATTACCATACAACTGAGGTTCAGCACTGTACTGGACTTGAGAATCCGAAAGGTCTGAATTATCATTGTTTATGGCTCCCGAAGATTCATACTGATGGACACTGCAAGGAAAGCTGTGCCGGTTCATGCCTGGACCCGGACCCGACTGGTCATAGGAGTAGGAGGAATCCTTGCAATGGGAACACAGAAAGGAGAAACAAAAGCTGTTTCAATGGGAGGCCATCAGTATTAAATGTTAGTACAAATCTTCCCCAAACAAGAATGTACTTGAAAAGATTTCCACCAATAAAACTGACTCCCACCTTAATCACTGGAGAAAAACACTGTTAAGAAGATAAAAAGGGGAAGTCCTTTCAAGTGAAAGGCACAGAATTCCTAAATATGATGGTTGGAATCTACCTTGATGCAAGTCACTTTTGTGAACACTGTACAATCAATCTTACTACCTCACAATTCGTCCAGTGACTTCATAGTTAGTATTCCTCCTTAAATAGTAAAAGCCTCAGAACACAGTTGAAAGCAGTGTTCTGTCTGGTTTATGTAAACAACCTCACACAGTGTTGTACTACTTTACACTGTTTCTCATCTTCTCTCCACATGAGAGGTTGTAAAAATACATTCTTGATTCTATCTAATATTCAGATAGTATCACAGTAGAAAATAAGCATTTTTCTGTCTTTTAAAAAAGATATGGTGCTGGAGAGATGGCAGCAGTGAAGTGTAGCATGAATACTAATTGTTCTTAAGGGGCGAGCCTGTCCTCAAGACTGTCTTCTCTGACTGCAGGGGTGATCCTCAGACTGCACTGAGCTCCTGTCTCCTCCCACCTTATATTCCTCTCTCTGCCCAGCCATATCACTCCTGTCTCCACCTCCTTAGTGCTGGGATTAAAGGCAGGGGATCCCAAGTGCTGGGATCACCTTTGTGTGAGCTTTGTTTCTCTTTTAGACAGATGCAATCTTGGTAGCCCAGGGAGGCATTGAACTAACAGAGATCCATCTGCCTCTGTCTCCTGAGTCCTGGGATTAAAGGTGTGTATCACCATTCTCTGGTCTCTAGTGGCTCTAGTGGTCTCTCATCTTCAGGCAAGCTTTATTTGTTAAAATACAAACTATTACTACAGTTAAGTAGTGGCTGTTCTTCCAGAGGACCCAAATTTGATTATCAGTTGCCACAAGGCAGCTAATAACTCTAACTTCATTTCCAGCGAATCTGGCCTCCAAAGGCTCCAGGCACATATGCAGCCAGTACATCTATACATATAAAAAAAATATAAAAGTACAAAAAATAACCTTAAAAAATCCCCAAGAAATAATGTTTATAAGAAAAAACAAAAACATAAATTAAGCTGAAATAGTGCTGTAGGGTAGTAATCAGCTCTTCTGCACTTAGTCTCCATTTACCATGGGCAAATACAGATGTGTCATCTTGTATTCTCTTAATACCCAGACACCAAAGGAACAGCATTCGGAAGGAACCCTACCTTAGGTTGTTGAGGTGGCGGTGAAGGAGGTGGCTGAGGAGAACTGTTGCCAGGCCAGGGGGAAGCACTTTCCGTCATGTACAGATTTCCAGGTGGGGCTGAGGGTGCAGCTGAAGGCCAGGGGTAACGGGCCCCCATCCCATAAGCACCAGAAGCCCATGTGTCATCTTGTGGTCGTACAGTTGCTCCTGACTGTGGCACAGTGCGGTTACCATCCCCATAGGGATAATGGGGCAAGGTCATTGCAGGGTTCTAGATTGGGAAAAACAAATATGCTGGTATGCTAGTAGGTCACTGCTTAGAAAAACCAAAGCAAAACTTTAAGTAATAAAAATAGTATCGACAGATCTTGAGCTGATAGCAAATCAGTTACCAAACATTCTCCACACCTGAGAAACCCTAACTCTAAAACCACAAAGAAAAGAGCTGGTAAAAGGCTCAAGAGTAAGATTTAAAATTCACTGGATGAAGCATGTATTTTCCAAAAACACTACAGATAAACGAATCCATATGGTAATATGTTATAAACACAAAGACAGCTGACTTCTCAAAACAACAGAAATAAACGTGATATATTATTTTTATTTATTTATTTAATTTTTAAAAGTTTTTAAAACAGAGTTTATCTGTGTAGTACTGGTTGTCCTAGAACTAGTTCTGTAGACCATTCTGGTCTTGAACTCACAAAGATTCACCTGCTTCTGGTTCCTGAGTGCTGGGATTAAAGGTGTGTACTATCACCATTCAGCCCAACATGGCATATTAGCATATATTATAAACCTAACAGCACTGGAAAAGATTAAGTTAGGAAACGTTTAGAACAATAACTAAAGACTTATTTTATTATAAAAGTTTTGTAGGGACTGCATAAATGTATCAGTGGTTAAGAGCATATACTGCTCTTCTAGAGGACTCTGAGTTCAAGTCCTAGATACCATGTCAGGTGACTCCCAAACCTGTCCAGTTCTAGGGTTCTCACACCTCTGGCCTTTGTGAGTACCTACATTCACATATAAGTATACAAACACACACACGGTATTAAAAATAATGAAAATGGAGTGGGACAAAAGAGGAGACGGGTATGGTGGCATATGCCTTTAGTCCTGGTAACCAGGAAGTAGAGGCAGACAGACTGCTATGAGTTTGAGGCCAGCTTGGTCTATATAGGGAGTTCCCGACACCCAGGGCTGCATACTGAGACCTGGTCTCAAAAAGAAAGGAAGAAAAGGAAAAGAAGGAAGGAAAGAAGGTAAAAAGAGAGAATACCCAACAAGCTGTCCTCTGACTTCCACACATGGCTGAGGTGCATGTCTCACCCCCAAACTCCCACCATGCACACACATAATAAATATAACTTAGAATTTATTTATCTTTTAAAAATTTATTTATTTATTTATTATGTATACAATATTCTGTCTGTGTGTATGTCTGCAGGCCAGAAGAGGGCACCAGACCTCATTATAGATGGTTGTGAGCCACCATGTGGTTGCTGGGAATTGAACTCAGGACCTTAGGAAGAGTAGGCAATGCTCTTAACCACTGAGCCATCTCTCCAGCCCCCCTTAGAATTTAAAAGAACTATGATTATGGCATTTTTTAAGGCATCTTTGGTCAAAAATAGAAAAAATCTCTGAACATCTACAGTGTTTTCTTTTTTGTTTTGTTTTTGAGACAAGACCACATGGCCTTGGATAGTCTCGAACTCGGTCTCCAAAGAAGTGGAGTTAAAGGTATACACACCATTCCTGGCTCTATCTGTTTTCTTAAACTGGTACTCAATGTAGATAAATAATTTTCCACTGTTTACAATTCAGAAGCAGGCATTTTTCCCCCATCAGAAAACTGTTTACCTGTGAAGAAGGATACCCTGGAACCTGACCCCTGAGTGGAGGTGCTTCTGTCTGACAGTCCTGCTGGGAATATATCCAACGAGAGACTGGGGTTGGGCTGTTACCAGGTGATCGGTAAGTGCTTGGAACTTCCGTAGAGTAACCGCTTTGAGTATAGCCAGGTACATAATAAGCCCCAGAGTATGAGGCAGTATTTGGTCCAGGACCAGGAGGGTATGGTGAACCATATGCTCCATTTGTATAAGAATTCAAACTCTGAAAAAAAAAAGAACCAGAGAGGAAGAAGGATGAGTCAGTTAAAGGGCTGATATGCATTTAATGTCCAACCTTGAAAACTTTAGGAAGAAAAGCTACCAGCAGCTGATGACAATCTAAGCTACCACAGCAGTCTATGAAGCACTCCTTCTCTCGGTTGTAACCACAAGCCATGTACTGAACTCAGGCTATGACTCTAAGTTAGGCTGCATCAGTGGAAGAATATATTGAGGACAGATGAAATGGCAAAATAGTGACCTTCTTAAACATTTCCTTAACTCTAATTCACAATTACACCTACCAGCAGAGAACCTGTATCCACAGAAGGCAACTCAAAGAAAGTGGGGTGACTAATCAGAGAAAAAAAGAAATATCACTATATAATAGAAAGGATAGAGAGAGACTCTGTAATTATTTAGTTTCTCTAACAGGAAAATGAAGAGCCTAAACTTACTTTGCAGGATTACTGAGAAAACTGAGATAACAAAAACAAAGGACTCAGCAGGTACACAATATGCTCAATAACAGTGATTACATTGCTGTAAATGTTATGATAAGTTTAAGAAACCAACCTAGGTCTGATTCTATAGTCCATATTGAACAATGAAGCCACCCTGCTTCCCAGATAACACCAACAACAGAAATCAGAAACTCCTCAGTACACTGTTTACTAGTGTGGCTGTTCTTTCAAACAGCACTGGGGACTAACCTCTTGTCCAGGCCAGACAAGTGTGTTACCCCAAGGTACATGGCCAGTCCCTTTCCTGTTTTAAATCCCCTAACAAGACAACTAAATTGCTGATATCTAGAATCCTGCTTAATGCTTCAAATAAGATGAAAAGCTAAGCCAAAGCTTAAACCATTACTTTAACATGTGTGCACATGTGTATCCCATATGATAATAACTAAACAGATAAAAAAATTTTCTTTTTTACAAAGTTCTTAAAAAATTGTTTATTTCATGCACATTGGTGTTTTGCCTGTATGTATGTCAGTATTGAGGGTGTTGGATCCCCTGGAACTGAAGTTACTGACAGGTGTGAGCTGCTATGTTGGTACTGGAACTGAATCAGGTACAAGAGCACCCAGTGCTCTTAGCCACTGAGCCATTTCTCCAGTCCCAAGGATTATTATTTGAAGGAATTTTATTCAATTTATTGCTAGAAACAAGTAGAATTAATTTTAGAACTATTTCCTTTTAAGATTTTTTTTTTAACTTATTCATTCCTTTTTCAAGACAGGTCTCACATAGTTTGACTGGCCTGGAACTTGCTATGTAGACAGGGCTGGCTTTGAACTCACAGAGATCCTTCTGCCTCTGCTTTCTGGGTACTGGGGTTAATGGTGTGTGCCATCCCCCAGCCAGGTTGCAGCAGCTGCTCAGGGTCTGTGTCCTGGTCTTGTTCTCCTGTCTCAGTGGAGGCAGGCCTCCGTGGCAGACACACTCCACCAGACCACTAGACAAGCCAGAAGCACCCCAGCTTGATTCCTCTCTTCACATTCATTGAAGCAGGAGGGAGTGGGGCAGCACTGTAAGCACTGTACAGTCCAGATGTCAGCTGGGACAGGAAAAATAACCCAGAACCTCAGGACAAACTCAGTCCTAATAAACAATATAAATCCCACTCAGTGAAACTAAAGAACCATAGAGCTCACCATAGAGCTGCTTATAATCAAGGTCTTTCAGGAGCCATCTGCACAATTTTCCACTTAACCAGGAAACACTCCTCTGCATGCAGAAAATCATGTTAATTTTTTTGGAATTTATTATCCTGATGAATAAATCTTCCAAACTTGATACATGTCACTATTTAACACTGAAAATGTACATGGGCCTTTATAGCTAGGACGTAGGGAATAAATTGCTAGAACTTAAAGAAGGAGAAAAAAAGGTGTGTGCCACCATGCCTGGTCTTATTATTTTCCTTTTTTTGAAATAGGGTTTCTTTGTGTGTAGCTCTGGCTGTCCTGGAACTCGTTCTGTGGACCAGGCTAGACTCAAACTCACAGAGATACATCTGCCCCTGTCTCCTGAGTGCTGGGATTAAAGGTGTGTGCCATCACTGCCCAGCCTTATATGACAGTGTATGTGTGTGTGGGGGGGGGTGCCTATGTGCACACATACTGAACTCAGAGGACACCTGGTGAGAGTTGTCTCCTCTACCATGTGGGCTCCAGGAACTGAACCTGAGTAACAAGATTACCCACTGAGTTATCTTGCTGGCACTCCTTTATAAAGTTTTAATCATGCTGTGTGTATTAGTCACCTTTCTATTGCTGTGATAAAACATTATTACCAAGACACTGAAGAGGAGAGCTTACGTGGGTTTTTGGTTCCAGAGGGTGACTCCACTGTGTGAGTCCACACAGTGTGTGAGTCCACAGTCCACACTGTGGTGGAGCAGAGGCACCGAAGCTGGAGTGGTAAACTGAGAGCTATAATCTTAAACTATAACACAAAACAGAAAGAGTGAGCTCAGAGAGGCTCAGATCTTTAAACCCTCAAAGTCCTCCCCAGTGACACACTTCCTTAAGCAAGGCATACCTCTTAATAAATCTCCCAAACAGTACCACCAACTGGGGACCCAGTGTTCAAGTGTCAGAGCCTATGGTTAAGAGTCTCATTTAAACCACCACAATATGGCAGTTTGTTTTTATTTTTGTTGTTTTTAAATGCACATACGTAGGTTTATTTATGAGCAATAAAATATGCTATTTGGTATTTGCTTCAAAATACTATAAGTAGGGGCTGGAGAGATGGCTCAGAGGTTACGAGCATTGCTTGCTCTTCCAAAGGTCCTGAGTTCAATTCCCTGCAACCACATGGTGGCTCCCAACCATCTGTAACTCCAGTACCTGGGGATCTGATGCCTCTTCTGACCTCTGCCGGCATCAGGCATGCATGAGGTATATACATATAAAAATCAATAAATATTAAAAAAAATACTATAAGAAAATACTTCAAAGATAAAGACGATATGGTCAAGTGTTGAGACTTGTGGCCGCTGAGAGAACATTTATTTCTACTTTTGTTTGAAATTTTCCTTACTATGAAAGAGTAGGAAGAAGAAGTTGGACTGGTGGTCACATGTCCATACATAACTCCTGCACTCAAGAGTCAGAAAAGCCGGAAGTTCCTGTCACTGAGTCTGTAAGCCGCACACGACAGGCAGGCACAGAAGAGTGCAACAAGGCAGCAGAGAAGGCGCAATGGGTAAAAGTGCCTGTTTCGCAGCCTGATGATGTGAGTTTAAACCCTAGATCCCAGTGAAAAGAGCTCCTGAGAGTCTTCTGACTTCCCCAAGTGCACTATGGCACACTCCGCCCACACATAACACACACAAAGAATACTAAAAATTGGAGTAAAACATTTAAACGTTGTAGAATATTATTTTAAGGGGAGTTACATGTGTTTATGCTCCGGAACATTTGTTTAGCTATGTAAAGATATGTTGCTTTTATTTATGCTGCATTTGTTTAACTCTGTGAAGCTGTGATTCTTTGCCTGTCTAAAGCACCTGATAGTCTAAATAAAGAGCTAAATGGCCAATAGTGAGTCAGGAGAAAGGATAGGTGGGGCTGGCAGTTAGAGAGAATAAATAGGAGGAGAAATCTGGGAAAGGGAGAAGGAGGAGAGGAGGACGTCAGGGTCAGTCACCCAGCCAGCCGTGGAGTGAAGGAGTGAGAGTGAAAGTAAGATACACAGATGGAGGGAAATAAAAAAGCCCAGAGGCAAAAGGTAGTAGGGATAATTTAAGGTAATAAAAGCCAGCAAGAAAAAAGTCAAGCTAAGGCCGGGTATTTATAACTACAAATAAGCCTCTGTGTGTAATTCATTTGGGAGCTGGGTGGCAGGCCCCACAAAAAGCCAAAGAGCAAAGAGCCAAATGAAGTAAGTGTAATATATAGCTGCTTCAGGTGTATATAGATGACAAGAGAAAGGTTGAAGATAGATTTCCTTAATATACCCATATTAGAGGGCAGCACAAGCCGTCCTTCCTTATTTTTCAGTTTCGCTTATATGTCTGTCTGAGAAGGGTCTTACCCTGGAATTCACTGTGAAGCCTCTGTTGGTGCTGAACTTGTGGCTCTCCTTATCTCTGGTCCTGCATTCCCCTCCCCTTTTGAGACAGGGTTTCTCTGTGTAGCCTGGCTATCCTGAAACTTGCTCTTAGACCAGGAGGTTGGCCTAGAACTAACTCAGAGATCTGCCTGTCTCTGCCTCCAGAGTGCTAGGATTAAAGGTATGAGCCACCACTACCTGTACAGTTTTCTTAAGGCATGATCATGATTAATTTTTTCTTCAGTATCTCCGTCACCTCAGGAACCATCTGAAATAAATTTGCGAGTTTTCCATATCTGCCATTTAGAAAATCGGGGCTTCTGGGTCTTTGTTAATAGCTACATTTACCTGTTGTTCTTTATCCCAGCTAAATACTAGGTGGCTCCAGAAATCCTGACAGCAGGATAAAGTTCTGGTGCTACCATTCCCATCTGACCAATATGCATGCATCAACAGCAGCATGGGACATACCAACTGCACTATGCAGCTACATTGCCAATCATCGAACAACTTAAAACTCTGACCCCAGATGCCTCCACTTTGGCAGCAGTTAATTCTAATTTATCACTTCTCAATTTCTAGTCTAGACACTCTCATATTCAGGCTGGCAAAGAAGTTGGTGCCTTTTCTGAACCGGCACTACCTCCACCTGTTGCTGCAGCCTCAAAAACTGTTCCCTGAAAGTCAGGCAGTGGTGGTACATGCCTTTAATCCCAACACTTGGTAGGCAGAAGCAAGCGGATTTCTGAGTGCAAGGCCAGCCTGGTCTACAGAGTGAGTTTTAGGAAAGAAGCAGGGTTACACAGAAAAACCCCGCCTCAATCAATCACTAAATAAATAAGCAAGCTTTAAAAAAAAGCTTCCTGAAAAGAAAACATCTTCATTTTGTCATACTTCACCATTCATAAAGTATTTCCTGCATAGATAGTACTCATAAATGTGTCATGTGACTTGATCTCAATGTCAGAAATTAGGAAATGTCAAGTTTGGGTGCTATCCTGAGCAAAAGGTTATTTCATAAAGCAGACACAGACACTTCAGCACAGATGTTGTGAAACTGAACTCCTTCTGAGTTTCTGAAATCAATGGTGTTCGTTCCTCTAGAAGGAGGCCTTTGGATGCATCATGCTAAACCGCCAGAGCTTTGCCATACCAGCTACTTTACAAAGATTGTATACCACTTTACCCATGTGGTTCCAGTTACTAAGTGAGACCCTCTACCTCCAAGATGCTTGGCTGCAGAGATGGTATTTAGCGAAATGGGTGCTAAAGAATCACTTGCATAGTCAGCCATTACCAAGATAAAATCAGAGAAATAAGGCCTCAGCCCCTGCAACCCAGGGCTCAGAAGTTCACAACAGACAAAATCCCCACAGAGACAAGGGCAGGAAGCTATCTGCAGTTGGTACCTCCTGGGAAAGGGGAGAATCAGTCTTCTTCAATGGAGCGACATCGGTTCGTCAACCACACTCCAGGGCAGATCCCATGTCCAAGAGTACTGGCCAACACAGTCCTGGTTTTTGGTGTGTGTGCTTTTGTTTTGTTTTTGTCTTATTGGTATTTGCTTTTATTTTCCTTCTGGTTTTCTGTTTGCTTATTTTTTTTTTTGAGAACAAGAAGTTGGGTGCATAGGGAGGTAGGGAATCTGAGAAGATTTGGGCAAGAGAAAGGAATATGATCAAAATATATTGGATGAAAAAAAATTAGCAAAATTAAAAAAAGGAAAATGTCATAATTAAACCCATTATCATATATACTTAATACAAGTTAATCTTTACATTGAAGTTTGCCAGAGTACTTACCTAGTTTTCATGAAACCCTGGGTTTGATCCCTAATGCTGAAGAAAACTGGGTGTAGTAACAGGGCTTATCCTAGCTCTTAGGAGATGGGGCCACTCAGATCAAGAAGTTTAAGGTCACCCTCAACTACATACCATTTCAGGCCATCATGTGCTATATAAAACTGTCTTAAAAGAAGAAAAGACATAAAAAAATCTCAATTTTCAACCATACCTGGCCTTGTAACTCTGGTCTCACTGGATATGCACTTGGATATGGGGTCCTCGGTCGCACAGAATTCCAGTAGTTAGAATTATAGCCAGGATATGGTGACTGTTCCTAAGGGAAAAGGGGAAGCAAGTTAATTTTAAAAGCATTCTTTCTGTTATTGATGCTTTCTTTTGAAACAGTTTCCCTACATATGCTAGTTGGCCTGAGACTTGCTATGCCACTCTGGCTGGCCTCAAACTTGCAATCCTCCTGCCTGTCTTCCCAGCTAGGACAGGTATGCATTACCATGTCCAATTCACTCTTTTTTGTTTTGTTTGTTTTTGTTTTTCGAGATAGAGTTTCTCTGTGTAATAGCCCTGGCTGTCCTGGAACTCATTCTGCAGACCAGGTTGGCCTTGAATTTACAAAATTCCTCCTGCCTTTGCCTCCTGAATGCAGGGATTAGAGGCGTCTACCACCACCACCTGGTCCAATTCACTTTTAATAATGGTTAGGTAGCAAAAATAGATACCTCTAACAAGAGGCAAGATAATGGGAATCAAAAAGAAAAACAGACAAAAAAGGAGATCTAATATAAAGCCACTATAATCATTATTAAACTTAAAAAGATAAAGTACAAAGTAAATCACATGCCCCAGAACAAAACAACCATTGAACAGTAGTAAAAGACTGGTCTTATGCATTATACACCACACACTGAAATGACAATAAAGGAATTCTATGTTAAGACGACTAGTAAAACCATGTACAGTAGTTTGTCTTTACTACCTCCTGTCAGTACATGATGAATATACCCAATCTGAAAACCTGAAACCCAAACCGCTCTAAGTTTGAATATTTTGACCTCATGTCCCGATGCAGTCAAAATGCATGTAATGGGTAGGGGAAGTGGTTGAGTGGCAGAGCACTTACCGAGGTCATTCAAGGCACAGCAAAACAATCAACAAAATGCAGGGGCATTAAAATGCTGTGTAGTTACCTTCAAAGCCATGTTTAAAAGTTGTACATAAATGAATTTCATGTTTAGATTTGAGTCTTGCCTTTAAAATAACTCATTATGTTTATACAGATATCTTTCAAAACTCTGAAACCTGGGGCTGGAGAGATGGCTCAGCGGTTAAGAGCATTGCCTGCTCTTCCAAAGGTCCTGAGTTCAATTCCCAGCAACCACATGGTGGCTCACAACCATCTGTAATGAGGTCTGGTGCCCTCTTCTGGCCTGCAGACATACACACAGAAAGACTATTGTATATATAATAAATAAATAAATAAATAAATAAATAAATAAAAAAACAAAAAACTCTGAAACCTGAAATACTTCTGGTTCCAAACATTTCAGATATGAGATACTTAGCCTGTTTAACCAGTACAACATAAAGCTATGTGTCAGTATTTACTTACTTAACAACATTGGAACATGAAACTATTACTTCTCAAGTTTACTACAAGTACATACATCTGGTTTGGGTTTTTTTTTTGTATTCTCGTACTTTTTCCTATGGCTAAGATTTCTGCTTATAATCTGTAACTTCAGTGCCATCAACTCATGTAGAACAATCACCATTTGAAGGAGTACATCTATCTGTGACGACATCATCTTTTCAGGCTCTGTCTTCAAATAAGTTACAGTAAGCCACTAAACTTTTCTAAGAACCTTCCAGACCAATGCTCAAACCTTCCAACACGCTGATTGTCCACTTTAGCCCAGGACATGCTCATCACTCACCAAGGTAAGTCTCTTTGCTTTGAACTTACAGCTAGTGTACTCTGCTTATAACCATTTTTATTTCCTTTAAAGAGAAGGGTTTTTAATCTGTTAAATTTTGTGGTTTGTTAGTTACGCTGGATTAAACCTGGAGTTATTGTAGATCTACACTCTCTTCTATGAATTTAAATCACAAGAAGATAGGATTAAACTGACTGTCCTAGAGGTGGTGATGCCAAGCCTGTCCAGAGCTCCACTTAGGGTCTGTCCTTCTAGCTGATTCTTTAAGGTTCAATTTTGCTACCAGTATCCTACACTCTTCATTTCCTCCCTTCCTGACTCAACTTCCTATCACCACAGTCCCTTGCTGTTCTTCAGACAGATTCACCTCACAAAAGCCTACTCTGTTGATGGAGCGGCGGGCTGCGTTCCCGCCTGGCTCCCGGCTAGCTTATCCCCGAAATAATTACATGGAAACTGTATTTATTTAAATATTGTCTGGCCCATTATCTGTAGCCTTTTAATGGCTAACTCTTACATACTGATCTAACCCATTTTTAATAATGTATGTAGCACCACGAGGTGGTGGCTTAACAGGAGGATTCTAACCTGCAGCTGTCTCAGAGAGGAGAGTCATGGCGTCTGCCTCACTTCCCTTCTTCCCAGCATTTTGTTCTGTCTACTCCACCCACCTATGTTCTGACCTATCAGTCCAAGCAGTTTCTTTATTAATTAGTCAATGAAAGAAACAGAAATACATAAGACTCTCCTACATCAAAGCCCTGTTGAAATGCAGTTGTCCACTGTGTAGAGAAAACACGAGCAGCTCTCTAGTTTGTCTTCTGTTTAGCTTGTTCTTTTTTTCTTCCCATACTGGGGATTAAACCCAGAGTTTTGTGGTAGTAGGCAAGTATTCTACCAGTGTGGTACATCCCTAGCCATTTGTTATTTTTAATCTGAGACAGCGTTCTATGGAGTTGTCAGGCTAGTCTGAAAATTTCTACCCTTTCATCTTAAGCTACCTGGAAAGACAGGATTGCAGGCGTGTGCCAAGCAATCTGCTTGTTTTCACTTTATACGATTATTGTAAGGCTCAAGAGGGCGCTCAGCACTACTAACAGATACAGACTCTTCAGTAGGCTCACTTTCTCACTCTCCAGGACGACCCTCTCTAACCTCTAAGTACATCAGGGTTGCTCACATGAGCATGGATAACTTAGAGCGGCTACACCACTGAAGACCACCCCCAACCCTACTTCCAGCAACTGTTAACTGTCAATAGCGGCTTTGGAAAGGGCAGTGCTTTGTCAGGGTTTTCTACTAGCATCTGTTTATGGCCTGTAAATCCTCAGGAGTCTCTCCTCCATCTATGATGGAGTGCTGTGAAGCCCGATCTTATGCAGGTCTCACTTAGTTCAAAGGTCACGTCACACCCAGATCAGACTTCCACGACACTCCTCTCCGTCTCTGCTCTCACAGTCTTTCCATGCCCACTTCCATAATGTACTCAGAGCCATGGAAGGGGTAAAATGCATGACCCATTTAGGGTTAGCACTCCACAGTCACGTTTTCTCAGCACATTAATCAGTTATAAATCTCAGCATTCATCACCACCCACTACAACACATACACATAAACCTCACCACCACCAGCAGCCAGGAGGCCGAGGCAGGCGGATCTCTGTGAATGCAAGGCCAGCCTGGTCTACAAGAGCAAGTTCCAGGAGAGAAAAACCCTGTCTTGAAAACCAAAACCAAAACCAAAACTCACCACCACCACTACCAACAACAGCAAACCTTTGACCAAATCTGAGAACAGCACAAAGCTATGAGCATTAACATAAATAACTTGAAGGAAGATCTTTGGTGGACACAATTTGTCCATTTATCAAAACAACAGTAGTAGCAGTTTCCCCATTAGGGTCTATGACCACCCCAGTCACAGGCTTTTGAACAAGCTTACAGTACTAGGCATGAATTCTCTCCTGGAGAGTGGGACTCAAATACAAACTGGCCATCAACCCCATAACAGTCATGCTACTATCACAAGCGGGCACACTTTGCCAGGCAAGTTAGTGGTTTAGCATGGGTCCATATCTGGTTAAGACTGTTCACGAATTTTTTTTCTCAAGCAGCCTGCACCACAACTCAAGGCATTATGAAAATGAGCCAGCAGAGAGAAAGCTTCCCGCTCAGTCTCACTCTGGTTTCTCTGTTCTGCAAACAAAATATGTGGTGTCTTCAACAACAGGATTTTACCATCTAGTTCTGATGGCAAACAAGAGCAGTGGCAACGGGATTAGAAACATCACAAACAACATGTATGTATATGCATCAAGTGTGTACCTGTACCCTAAGAGGCCAGAAGGGGGCATCAGACGACCTGGAACTAGAGAGTTGAGCTGTCATGTGCATGCTGAATTGAACCCAGGTCCTCTGGAAGAATATTCAGTGCTCTTAACCACAGAGCCATCTCACCAGCCCTAAAAGTTGTTCTCTCAAAAAACTGGTGGAAACTTGACAGTGGTGGTCCAAGTCTTTAATCCCAGCACTCAGGATGTAGAGGCAGATCTCTGAGTTCAAAGCCAACCTGCTCTACAAATCTAGTTCCTGGACAGCAAGGGATAGAGAAACCCTGTCTCAAAAAACCAAAAACCAACCAAACAAACCTGGTGACAGTGGTAAGTTTCCAATTTTCCCCTCTGCTCTATTTAAATTCATTAAAACAACAACAACAACAAAAACAACAACAAAAACCATGCAGGGTGGAACTCACCTAAAATATCAGCATTTGTGAGGTAGAGGCAAAAAGCTCAGAAATTCAAGATCATCCTTGGCCAGAAAGTAAGTTTGGGGCCAGCCTAAGATACAGGAGACCCTCTCTTGGGAAAATGAATAAGTCAAGTCTTTTTTGTGTCCAGAGTAGCCCTTAATGCACTTAGTCCTATTGCTGTGCACGTGCTAGGGATCTTAGGAAGCTGAAGCAGAAGATTTGGAAGAGGACAGACTCTACATTTCAACAGTCTTGCAGAGATTAAAATTGCTGCCCACAGGTCACACTTTCTGAGTAGATTTGTAAAGTTTCCTGAAGAGTTGCAGGTATAGATAGGTCACAGATGAAATTATGTCTAGAATACACAAGGCCCTGGGCTCAAGTCCCAGCACTGGGGTGGGGGGAGAAAAAAACTCCGATATCCTCCCCTTTCTTTCATGTGTGTGCGAACGCCTATCTACATGTTGTAAGGACATACATGTGCAGGGTGCACGTGCATATAGAGGCCCAAGACTGATTCCTTCAGTAGCTATTCTACCTCACTCAATGAGACATGGTCTCTCAACGAAAACCAGAGTTCTCCCACATTGCTAGCTAGTCTTGCTAGTCAGCTAGTTTGGGGATCCCAACTCAACCTTCTAAAGCTGGAATTATAGATAACCCACTCAGCACTGACATGGGCCCTAGGGATCCAACTCCTGTCCTTACATTGCAAGACAAGCACCTTAGCCACAGAGTCACTTCCCTAGCCTGGTACTTGTTTTTAATTTCACATATACATTGTGAAATTTAGTAAAAGTTAATAAAATCAAGATTGTGGATTTGAAAAAAATGTGCATCAATGACAACATGTATATCTTTGATTTTTTTTTATGGCTATATAAGAAATTCTACCCTTGGGCTGGGCATGGTGACACACATCTTTAATCCCAGCACTCTGGAGACAGAGGCAGGTGGCTCTCTGGAGTTCGAGGCCAGCCTGGTCTACAGAGCGAGTTACAAGGCAGCCAGAGCTACACAGAGGAACCCTACCAAAGAAAGAAAAAAAGGCAAAAAGGAAGGAAGGAAGGAAGGAAGGAAGGAAGGAAGGAAGGAAGGAAGGAAGGAAGGAGAAAAAGAAATGAAATTACTACCCTTAACTTCTCAAGTTTCAGGATCATTACCCTGAAAAGTAAAATTTAAACGATTCACAAATGCCCATCACACATTTCCAGTCTTATCTCAGAACACTCTAGCACGTGCACACCAACCAAACTTCATGATTCCTTATATAACATCAAGTTTTAACTTTTTCAAGTCTTTCCCTAACTTTCTATCTCAACCCCAGAAAACAGACTTTTAGTTTGATAATATAGCAAACTCAACAGAAGCCAGTCGGCAGTTTAAAGATCAACTCCTTTGCCTCATCAACTAAAGAGTTTGGGTACTTCAAAGGCTGGGTACGTCACTAGACTATGGGAGTAAAGTCCAACAGCCTACTGACTGAATCAGCATAGAAAATATGGATTCTTCTTTACATTAACTTCTTAATACTTTGTGTTTTTAATTCACTTTTAGAGAAATAATTAGCCCAGCCTTTTAAAATATACAATCCAGTGGTTGTTAGGGTACTCAGAATTGTGAAGCCATTATCACTAACTTCAGAAGACTGTATCACTCCGGAGCCACCTCCTTCCAGTCCCCAGCCCCGGCAGTCCACCAGTTTCTGTCTCTAGGACATGACACATAAATGGAGTCACACAACATGAAACCCAACCTTGTGACTAGCTTTACTCATCATCCATGATCTATTCAAGGTTCATCCATGTTGAAACAAACCCGCATATGGACTTAACTTTCTGGATATTATGTTCTAAAACATGCCACGTTTGTTAATCCAGCTATCAGCCGATAACTACATAAATTACTTCCAATTTTTAGCCATGATGACTAATGATGTTTATGAAGACATACTCAAAATTTTTTATGTGGACATGTTTTCCATTTCTTTTTTGCCGTTGTTGTTATTGTTCTTTGTTTGAGACAGAGTCTCACCATGTCATGTACCTCTGACTGTCCTGGAACTATGTAGACCAGGCTAACCTGCTTTAGCCTCCTGAGTGCTAGGAATACAGGCGTGGGCCACCAATTGTTTTTCCATTTCTTGAGTATACTTAACAAGTGGATCTGATGGATCATACGCTAATTCTCTGCCATAAATTTTAGGAACGACCCAAAGCACTGTAGTATTCTGCAATCCCATCATTAACGTGTGAGAATTTTATAATTCATTTTCAGCAACTAAGGATGCTATGAAGGCCAAAATATGTGTGCCACCATCCTATGATAGCTCCATACAAGGAGAAAACAGAAATACATTTTTGGCATGTATACAGGTAATTAAATGTTACAGGTCTAACTAGATGAAGCAAGTTAATTTCTCAGAGCCTTCATTCAAAAATAGGGAAGCACTAATAGCATCTGTCCTTCAGTCCTGTGCTTAGATAGAACGTAAAGGCACTTTGCAACATTGAATATTCGTGCTTCAATCCCAGGCAAAGATTTAGTGATAAGGGACTAAATGATCGGCCTCCCCCACCCACCCCACCCCGCCCCGTTCAGATCCCTTCCCCGCGGGAGGGGCTGCTGAGTAACGACTGGAGCTGTAGCTTCCCTAGTCACGCAGGATAAATTGTTACAGCCCGATCACTCTATCTTACGCTCTCAGGAGAGAGATCCTACAGCCTGCTACCAAGCTTAGGAAGTCATCGCAGAATAATTTTCCCGTTTCCTTGGTGGTAACAGGCACACTTAACGATGGCCGAAGGGACAAATGGAACACAAGCATGTATCCCTCTCACTTAACGTCTCCGATCTCTGTCTCGGCACCCTCCCCAGAAGAAGAACAAATCAGAAACCTGAGTCGTAGCAAACCCTAAGTAGAGAACCCCCAATGGTCCTCACCTCCGCCCAAGACTTCCCTACCGGATCCCCGGGAAAGACTGCGAAGCTTACCTGGTGTCCGCCTCCGGCTCTACTCGGCTCTGCCCAGGCGCCTCCCGAGGGGTAGTAGGCATCGCCACCTGCGCCTTCTCCGGGCCAGGTGGTCTCGGCCGGGGCGCCCCCGCGCCCTCGCCAGGAAACTGGAGGCTGAGGTGGCTCGGGCCGAAGCGGAGGGTACAAGGGCGGAGGGACGTGCACCGGGACATCGCCTCCACCGGGCCCATAGTAGCGGCCGTACGAAGGGCCGTCACTGGGGCCGTAGCCCGAGCGCCTCAGGGCCGACATGGGCTCCGCTGCCGCGAAGCGCTTCCCGCCCCCCACGGCCGGCCCATTGCGCAGGCGCCTGCGAGCGACCGCGACTGGCGGGTGGCGAAAGGGGTCGGACGGCGGCAGCCAATCCCGAGCCAGTCCCGCCCCCTGCCCGCCGAGCGCCGAGAGGAGATGGACCGGAGCCCGCACTCCGGGCCTCGGAGGAGGGAAGCGAAGAGAGGCGCCGCGCTCGTCACGCGGGAGGAAACGCCTGTCCTCCGCCCTCCGCCCACCAGACCTGGACTCCACATCACTGCTCAGGGAGGAAGAAACGGTGCCCGCGACCGCACGCCTGGAACGCCTCTTTCTGTGGACGGACACGCGATACCGGAAGTGGGTGGGGTAACCTGAAAGCGCTTCCGGCGACTAGCGGCTATTGAGTTGTAGGTGAGCGGCGGGTTCCAGTCCGCGGCCCGCCGACGGGCGACTGGACGCCGTCGCCCAGCGGAGCAGCTTTACCTGAGTTCAAAATGAACTATATGCCCGGGACCGCCAGCCTCATCGAGGACATCGACAGTGAGTAGCTCTCCCCGGGGGAAGCCTGGCGAGGGACCCTTTCTCGAGTGGGCTCACCGTGAGTGTCGGGCCCCGGCGGGGTGGTCTGCCTCCCCGGCCTCGGAGCTCATCCCTAACCTGCCTCCTCTGGCCCTGGGCTGGTGACCCTCAAGCTGTGGAACTCCGTCCAAGGGGCGCAGCATCCGACGTGCGAACTGTGAAGTGGCCCAGGCGACTTCCCCCGCGTGCCCTGTCTTTCGCTGCAGTATTTCCAAGTCCTCTTTGACGGTGGATGGACAAGAGTTGCTCCTTGGAGGACCCAGCAAGACCTGAAAATGTGAAGACAGCAGCAGTTGAATTTAATTAACGCCCAGCGCAGGCTTTCTGTTGTGGAGCCACTTGCGGTCTGCTCTTTCTATGAGGGTCGTTAGCTCTTTCAGATTAAAACTGTAGTAGAGACAGGTGTCGGACGTAATAGCTGACTTTTCTAGAAAGGCTAAGTCCCTTCAAACTTACATTTTTTCTGTTGGACAGTTTTGCTTTTACTGAAAATAGGTAGTCCTGTACAAACCAAGAGGATGCAACCTCATCTTTTTTTTTTTCTTTTTTTTTTTTTTTTTTTTTTTTTTTTTTTTTGTTTTGTTTTGTTCTTCGAGACAGGGTTTCTCCGTAGCTTTGGAGCCAGTCCTGGAACTAGCAGACCAGGCTGGCCTCGAACTCACAAAGATCCGTGTGCCTCTGCCTCCTGAGTGCTGGGATTAAGAGTGTGTGCTGCCACCACCTAACCACAATTTCATCTTTTAAGGATTATTTCTTTCTAAATGCATGTGACCTTTTTTCTTCACCAAATCCTCTGGAATTGGAGTTATGGATTGTTGTGAGTCACAATGTGGGTGCTGGGAGCCGAACTCATCCCCTACAATAGCAACAAATGCCCTTTTGAGCCCCCACTTTAATTTTCCCCCCTAAATTCCCCCCCCCGAATTCTTACCTGTGTGAGATCTTAAAGGAGCCTTTTTTTTTTTTGATTGTGTTTTGTGTTTTACTGTTGTGGTGGTTGTTTGCGACAGGATTTCTCTGTGTAACAGCCCTGGCTGTCTTGGAACTCCCTTTGTAGACCAGGCTGGCCTCCAACTCACAGAATCCTCCTGCCTCTGCCTCCTGAGTGCTGAGATTAAAGGCGTGCGCCACCATTGTCTGGCTTTTCAAACAGCATTTTTTAAAGCAGCATTTAAAAAAAAAAAGATGTGTATGAGCGTGTATGTCTGTGCACTGTGTGCTTATCTGGTGCTGGGGAAACCAGAAAAGAACATAGCATCCTCTGACATTAGAGTTACAGGTGGTTGTGAGCCACTTTGTGGGTGCAGGGATTCGAACCTGGGTCCTTGGAAAGAGGAGCCAGGTCTCGTAAGTGCTGAGCCATCGCTTTGGTCTGTAAGCGGCATTTTAAAATCATTTTAATCATGTGACTTTTCAAAAGCAAAATAATTTATATAGCTTCAAACAAGTAAAAGCAAAAACATTCTCTGTGAGTTGCAAATTAGAGAACATCTGAGATTGCATTCCCAGTTATCAGTTGTAGCACAAATTCTAGTTGGTCTTAATAATAAAAACCCAGAGTCAGATATAGGGATTAATGCTGAAGATCAGAGAAGCAGAGAGGCCAGTCACTACAGAATTCTTTTACCTCTACCAATGCTCAGACTGCACTGAGCTCTTGTCTCCTCCTGCCTTATATTCCTCTCTTTCCCACATGTCCCTTCCTGTCTCCACCTCCTTAGTTGGGATTAAAGCTGTGGGCCAACATCACCTGGTTGTTTCTCTTTAAGACTGGATCAGTTTCAAGTGGCCCAAGGCGGCCCAAGGCAGCCTTGAACTAACAAGAGATCCATCCCGTCTCTGTCTCCCTCCTGGGATTAATGGTGTGTGCCACCACTGCCTGGCCTCTAGTGGCTTAGCTCTGGCACTCTGATCTTTGTTCAGGCAAGCTTTATTGTTAGAACACAAACAAAATATAATTGCACAGACACATACACACGCCATGCTATAATCCTATCTGTGAAGTGTAATGAAATATTTTTTTAGTGGAGCCTTTTACCTTCACCCTTGCTTACATATCTGAATTACCTAAAGCCTCTAACAACCAGTCCTGCCAGATTACTAAAATTATTTACTTCTCAAGCCTTCTCATACTTGTTTGTGGACCCAGGCTCTCTCCATTACTGAAAATTTTCAAACATTTGCTACCTACTCTTCAGTCCCAATCACAACACATACTGTTCCCTCCAAATCCTTCTGGGTTTTTTGTTTTGAGACAGGCTGCCCTGGAACTTGCCTGCCTCTGCCTCTTGAGTGTTCTGATTTAAGATGTGCACCACCTTGCCTGGCTCAACTATGTGCTTTATCTGTCTGGCCCTGCTAGCTGTTTAGTTGTGTGTCACCATCAGGCTTGTGTCCCTTCATTTCAGTTTTGACTCTTCTGGCCATCTTTGCAGTGTGATATTTGCTGCCAAAACTTGAATTTTTCATTCATTTGACTTACTTTTATTTGGTTTGGTTTCATTTTCGAGACAGTGTCTCACTCTGTGGGCCAGGCTGGCCTCTGTAGTCAAAACATTCCTTCTATCTCAGTGTCTCTAAAATTCTGAGATTACAGACATGGGCCACCATGCTTGCCTTGAAGTTGTATTATTTTTAAAAATTTATTTATTTACCTTTATGTGTATCTTTTTTCCTGAGTTTTTTAAAGATTTATTTACTTAATGTTCAGCATATACTTGTGCCTACATGAGTGATGAATTTTTATGCAGTGCATGTGTGCAGGATGCCAAAAGAGGGCATCAGATGCCCTGGAACTAGAGTTACTAGAGAGTCAAACCTCATCTTCTGCAAGAGTAGCAGTGTTCTCAACCGACTCTTTCCAAGTTCTCTCTGCAGTATTGCTCATTGTATTCTGTATTGGATTCTTTTTAAACCCAGTTTGTGTTTATGTACGAGTTTATGTGCATCATGTTCATGCAGTAACTGAGGTTTTAGGAAGTTGTGTGCTACCTGATGGGTGTGCTGGGAACTGAACCTGGGTCCTCTAGATCAGTAAGTGCTCTTAACTACTGAGCCATCTCACCAGCCCTCTATTGTTTTCTTGGTTTCTCTAACACTAGTTCTTGCTAATCTTCTTATCTCTGGACTGTTCTCTCAAACAGGTGGTCTGAGTTGTTTGGTCCGTTTCTCTAAATTTGTAGGCATTCTAGACATACTTGAGCATCCTAACTCCTGTTTTTCATATACCAGTCTTCAGTGTTTTCTTATTCCTTTTGAAGTTAAAACTTGCCTCCAATACTTTTCTTCTAACTTTAACTTCTTTCTTTTATCTTTGAACCAAATGTTAATATGCTACATTTTCCCTTTATGCTTAATTTATTAGATTTCTGTAATTTTTTTATTTCTACTTTCCCTTTCTCATATCCAAAACTTATCCTTCAAGGTCCAACTGGGATATGTATAGTTTCTTTCTTAAGTCTTATTTAATTAAGATTTGCTTGCTTTTTTTTGTTTTGTTTTGTTTTTTGAGACAGGATTTTTCTCTAGCTTTGGAGTCTGTCCTGGAACCAACTCTTGTAGCCCACGCTGGCCTCGAACTCACAGAGATCCGCCTGCCTCTGACTCCTGAGTGCTGGGATTAAAGGCATGTACCACCACTGCCTGGCGATTTGCTTCTTATAATACTTAATTGTAGCCTAATATGACTGTAAATTCCTTTAGAGAAGAATCATTTCTCTTCATATAGAAAGTACTTTATGCTGGGCAGTAGTGATGGACACTTCTAATCCCAACACTCAGCAAAGGCAGCCAGTCTCTAAATTTGAGTTCAGCCTAGTTTACAGAGTGCATTGCAGGACAGTCAGGGCTACACAGAGAAACCCTGTAGGTGTGGGGAGGCATTCACTGCAACATCTGATCTGGTGTACAGACTTTAATTTTGAGCTAGACATAGTGAAACATGCCTTTCATCCCAGCATTTTGAGGCAGACACAGGTGGATCTCTGTGAATTCAAGACCAACCTGGTCTACAGAATACATTCCAAGACATCCAGAATTACACAGAGAAACCCTATCTCAAAGAAAAAAAAAAAAAGAACAAAAAAAAAACCTAAAGTACTTTTGGCATCGAATTAAAGAAACAAATGGTTAAAATCTTGCATGCTTTTCTAATCGCTGACTTATTTGAATCCTTAAAGTTATCTGTCTCTTCAGAGACTGTCCCCCGCCCATGTGCTATAGCCACTTTGATGTGTCCTTCATCCTGCTATCATGTTGTCTTGTATATTATTCTGCTCTATTATCACATAAGGTAGTTTTCTTGTTTTTCTCCTACAATAAATACAGATTCATAAGGTTGATTGATGACTTTCAGACCTCGGAGTAGTTTAGACCAGTGGTTCTCAACCTTCCTAATGCTGCGACCTCATGTTGTGGTGACTCCCAACCATAAAATTATTATTTTTGTTGCTACTTCATAACTGCAAGTTTGCTACTATTATGAATTGTAAGTATCTGATATGTGACTCCCATGAAAAGGCCTTTCAACTCCAGGGGTTGAGAACCACAGGTAGAGAACCCCTGGTTTAGATAGATGACTCAGTGATTAAGTGTGCATACGGCTCTCTGAGAGGGAGGGCCAGGGTGATGCCAGAGACCACACCAGTGGTTCACCGGGAACCGCCTGTAACTCCAGTGCTGACGTATCGCATGCTGCCTTCTGCTCTGTACATACATGTACACAGACACAATGCATATATTTTGTTTTAAAGCTTTTAATTGAATTTCTGTTCTAGGCCACTATCAAATCTTAACATGTCTGCATTTCTTTAATTCTTGTTTGGCACCAACTACTCTAAAGCATTGTTTTCATTTTAAATTTCTTTGATTGAAAGCAAAATATGAAGCCAGGTGGTGTTGGCACACTCCTTTAATCCCAGCACTTGGGAGGCAGAGGCAGGTGAATCTCAAGGCCAGCCTGGTCTACCAGAGAGAGTTTCAGCACATCCAGGGCTACACAGAGAAACCCAGTCTCAAAAAAAAAAAAAGTATGAGAATGAGAAAGTTGAAGAAGTAATTCTGGGAATAAGGTAATAGAAACTTAGCTAATGATGATGAACTTCTATCATTCCGGCACTTAGATGAAGGCAGGTCATCCTTGGCTGTGTAGTGATTTGAGCCCAACTAGGTTGTGTAAAATCAGAAAAATAAAAATCGTCTAGGCCAAATTTCTATGTTTAAGATGGAGAAATTATGACACTAAGAGGGTTAAATGTAAACATCAGAGCCCAGAACCAGCTGCCCTTCCTGACCGCTTAGTGTCCTCTTCTAACTACAGTACTACTCTGAGTCTTTCCAGGACTGATCTCATCTGAATCCCTGCTGTCCGTTCTTTCCTCCCATGTCTTACAATGAACTCCACCCTAAATACATTAGGAGAGCGTCTGTTACAGTTTAAATGCTATTAACTTAATTTTTATTGTTACCATATGAGCTCACTGAAACTGGCAGTTTTTGTTTTAAAGATCTTTTCTCCTTTCCCCAGAAAAGCACTTGGTCCTACTTCGTGATGGAAGGACACTGATAGGTTTTTTAAGAAGCATTGATCAGTTTGGTATGTATTGTTATGATCTTACTCTTTAATCCTATTGAATTTTTTTGGTATCACATTATATTCAGATTTACTTATTTCTAACTCTTCTCATGTGTCAGCAAAATGGAACTGTTTGGGTAAATAAATTGTTTTCAAATTATGATTAGGTGTTTCAAAAGCTTGTATATTTATGAATTTGTATTCTAAAACTGATTTTCACTAGTGTTTTTATTTTCCCCATTAGAGGGAGCCAAATGACAGAAATAAAGTTAGTCTTCAAATCATTTCCTAGAGGTAATCCCTCCCTGTCCAGTGAAAATAGAGTAGAAGCCATTTCCTGAAACTTGCTGAGAGAAGGGGAGAGTAAACTCAATAGTTTACATATAAGTATACCAGATTTAGGAGTCAGTCTTCATTTTGCAATCTGCATTTTCTGAAGTGAGAGATCTATGTTTCTCAGGTCACACATTTGTACATCATGATCTGCTAGATCACTAGATTTGAATGTGAGGGAAAATGCAGCTGAAACACCAGCCATGTGCCTATAGTCTCATACTTGTTAGGCTGAGGCAAAACAATTACCTTGGAAACAGATCAAGAACCATCTCAAGCCAAAACAATAAGATACACACATAATTTCTGTTTTACTTCAAGTAAGACAAATAGTACTAATTGAAAGAAGAAAAATATCCCTACAGGTTGGTGTTCTAAATCTTGAGTTTAAATTCATCAGTGCTTCGAAGGGATAAATAATGAATATTGAGATTGCCAGGTCTGATTATCTGACACGGCGAAGAAAGAATCTTGCTGTGTCATAATCTGTAAAAGTTACATTGGATTACATGAATCATTAGTACTGAACAAAAATTAAACCTCAGTGAAGTCACCACATATGTATATTCACACAACAAAGAAAAACTCTCCTTCCAAAAAAGCAGAACTTTAATCTTGGCGATTATCTAAACTCAGGTTTTCCAGATTTCCATTCCTTTCTATTTCTCTAGAGACCATGTTGATACTAGCAGTTAAATAATACAGAAGTAACTTATTTCTATCATCATTCATTCATTAGCCCAACATAATGGGAAATACTCTTTACTTGTTTGAATGTCTCCTAAAACTGAACATATGGTGGCTCCTGTCTATAATCACAGCATGTGTAAGAGGTTGAGGCAGGAGAATCATCTCAAATTCTGGAACAGCCTGGATACTGTGATTTCTAGGCCAGGTGAGACTAGAGTGAGACCCTACCTCCCCCCCAAAAAATCTCCTAAATGCTTTGTTGTAATCAATGAAATTTAGAAATAGCTAAATAATTGAATCTGTTTCTTTATGTTCTTGTAGCCAACTTAGTGCTGCATCAGACCGTAGAGCGCATTCATGTGGGCAAAAAGTACGGTGATATTCCTCGAGGGATTTTTGTGGTCAGAGGAGAAAATGTGGTCCTACTCGGAGAAATAGTAAGTGAAAACTGTTGAGCTGCTGTGGGTCTGGGCACTGATGCTAGCTGGCTTCTTCCTGAGTTCAGCAAGCTTCACACAAGAACCTACCAGATAGGGAAGCTGTAGTTGCCAGAGCAACACTGCAAAAAGTAACTAATGCCTTTTGGCATTTTAAAAATTTTATCTCACTAACAGAATATTGTTGACTTTAGCTGATAGAAAACAATGTTGCTGTTTCTCACTAAGATTGTAATAATAGAGATTAGTGTGGCCCCTGTGCAGGCATGGCATACAGATCTCTGAAGTGGTCCATGTTTTTTCATCTGGAAAGAAAGAAGCAATGTTGCTGAGTGTGGTGGCTGTGTCTATAATCTGAACAGCTGGGTAGCTAGGGTAGGTGGAACTCCTCTAGTCTGAAGCTAAGCTGTGCTGCATGGTGAGTTCCAGACCAGCCTGGGCACCAATATAATATCCTCTTTCAAAAGAATAAAACAGCTGGACAGTGGTGCACACCTTTAATCCTAGCATTTGGGAGGTAGAGGCAGGCGGATCTCTGTGAGTTCGAGTTCAGCCTGGTCTACAGAGCGAGTTCTAGGACAGCCAGGTCTACACAAAGAAAAAATGTCTCATAAAACCAAAAAAAAGAAAAAAGAAGGGTAAAATAACAAATATATTGATCATTCATGTAATTTTTAAATAATCTAATAACAAGAAGTTACAGGCTTTAAGTTATATGTTTGATTTATAAAGGTATAATTTAGAGCTGGGAGTATGTCACAATGGTAAAATCCTTGTCTACCTCTGAAAATGATAAGATTTACATGTTGGAATACTTTAATTATTTAAATAATTGTTTAGGAGTTGGAGAGATGGCTCAGTGATTAAGAGCACATACTGTTCTCACTGAGGGCCTGAGTTTGGTTCCCAGCTCACAACTGCATATAACTCAAACTCCAGGAGATCCCAGGATACCTCTGTTCATATGCACATAGCACCCCAACACATACATAATTATAAAAAACAATAAAATTAAATAATTAGTTACAAGTAGTTTTTTTTGGCACGAAGTTAATTGACAACATTTGAGGAAAGTATTGTATAGATTTTTAAAGGGGGAAAAAGAAAACAATAGGTATAGGAAAAGTCATTCTGAGATTTCAGAGTGAGACTCATGACCAGGGAGGAGGAACCTGAATATTTGTGCCAGGAAGACCAGATAGTGAGTGGAATGTTCAATTACATCTGAAGTATTATTGCTTGCTATGTTTGTGTGTATACACATTAGAAGATGATTATAATTGTATGTGTTTATATGTACATGTATGTTTGAAGCATTTAGTTTTGTTTTTTAGTACTTTATTTAAACTTGAAATCCTATTGTGTTTGCTAGGAAAATCAAAGTCCCTGTGAGACTGTTTGAAATTCAGAATAGGGCGGGGGATGTTGCTCAGAAGTGGTATGATTTGGTAGCATGTATAACACCACAAAAGAAGAGGGGGAAAGAGAGGAAGAAATTAAAGACTGAAAACGAGTTTTTTTTTTAAAAAAAAATCCCACATTTGCTGTTTTCTTGTTTTTTTAGAGTTTCTCAGTAGTTAGCAATATCTTAATTTAGTGTTCAGACGTCTTTTGCATAGAACAGTTTAGTTATTTTTCCCTTAATATTTCAAGAAAATGAGAAAATTCTGTCAGGGATAGTTTGGTTGATAGGCCTCATGTAGGAAACAGCTTAAGTCAGCTGTGTAGTGAGTTTGAGGTTAGCATGAGACTGTCTCCAACATACTGGGCTTGGGTGATGCTCACTGGCGAAATGTTTGCTGCACATGCATTGAGTCTGAGTTTGCATCCCTGGCACCTACATAAAAGCCAGGCATGGTGGTACAAGGCTGTAGCTCCAACACTGGGAGATAAAGACAGGTAGATTATGGGAGCTCAGAGGCTAGCCAGTCTAGCTGAAACCAAGAGGTTCTCTGAGAGACTATGTCTCAAAAAATAAGGACGTGATGAAAAGCACTCTGTGTCAACCTCTGGCCTCCACATGTACATACACACATAAACATGCGTCTGCTTCCTGAACATTGCTGTGAAATGCATTAGTACCTCATTATTTTAAAATATTTTTTGTGGTGGGCCTAGAAAGATGGCTCAGCAGTTAAGAACACTTGTTGCTCTTGCAGAGAACTGGGTTCAGTTCCCACCACCCACATAGTGGCTTACAGCCATCTATAAACATTGCATTACTGAAGAAGTCTCTAATGGTACCCCATGGTGGCACCTGCCTGTAACCTCAGAAGTATGGAAATAGGCAGGAACTTATTACAAAAAAAAGGGGGGGTGCCTGAATTCTGCATGATTAAGAAAATTTAACTTTAGAAGGACTGTCACATCATGATCATCCCGAATAGTTCATTGAGTGATATGCCGAAACGCCCAGGAAGCAGAGCGCTAAGAACATTGTCTTTCTTCATTCCAGGGTTAAGAGGGAAGGATTAGGTGGTTATATGTAGTTTTTCGCAGATAACCTTTGACCCAGGTAACTTATGCAACTTGTGTGGTTTCTAACCTCCTAGTGATACCACAGCTGATGAGCTCGGAGACCTTGGGGACGTGTGTCAGTTGTCCAGACTGAAACGTCCAGAGTTTTTGTTCAGCATCCTTCCAAACCTCAGCAAAAGTCATAAAAATGGACTAGAAAGATGACTCAATAACTGAGTGCTTACTGCTCTCCTAGCTCTTGTAGAGAACCTGAGTTCAGTTCCCACCATCCACAGAGTAACTCATAACTGACTATAACCCCAGCTCCAAAACTTCTGCACACACACCCAGAGGACAAGTGGCATATCTGTATTCCCAGCATTCACCATTGAGTGGAGGCCAGCCTGGACTATATAGAGAGTTCTAGAACAGACAGCTTTTGCTGTGTAACCAAATCCGGTTTAGGAGGGGTGGGAGAGCCCAGAAATATATTGCTACTTTTTCCATGTAGGCTTTCCATGTTACAGAAACACAAATAATACTTACACATTGTAAGAATGATAAAATCTGTGGATAAGTGAGGCTCATTTATAGTTCTGCTTTACACAATTGGTTGTTAAATGTTTATGACAAATATTAAGTATATTATGCTGTGTTAAATGAAAATAAAATTTACAGTCACTATGTGCGCTATGGGTTTGTTTTGTTTTAAGTCTTTGGATATACCTAGTCTGATGATGTAGCCTAGCAGGAGAGGGCTTGCCTAGCACACACAGGGCTCTGGGTGGTCTCCAGCACCATGGATCAAAACGGTTCCTAGGCCAATGAGTTGACTCACTGATTTAAAGCACTTGTGCAAGCTTAACAATCGGTTCAATTCCTAGAACCCAAGTGAGTGTGGAAGGAGAGGACCGACACCACAGAGCTGTCCTTAGACCGTCACATGTGCACTGAGACACAAAGTTTAAAAACACAGTCCCAAAAAATAAACATAGACTCAGTGCCTCGGCTAATAAATTAACTGGCCTACATCTGAAAATTGATGACATTTACCAAGTATTGGTGTTTCATACTAGAATTATGAATAATATTTGATTCAGATTGCCTGCTAATATTATAAGTTTCCTACAGTGTGTATGCTTTTTTTGAAGTAAGGAAAATGAAGTAATATTTTTATTAAACAAAAGAATTTATCTGGGCATGGTGCACATGCCTTTAATCCCAGTACTTGGGAGGCAGAGGCCGGGAACTTAAACTCTGTGAGTTCAAGGACAGCCAGGGCTAAACAGAGAAACCTTATCTTGAAAGGAAAAAAGTGTAAAATACAAGATTTTTCTGTAGCTATTGTAGCCTAAATACTTTCTTTGGGTCCTGTATAATAAGAAGGTATCCTTCTGTAAAGAGCCATCAAGGTGTGTGAATGTGTGTGCACACTTACGAGGTGTGCGTGTAGGTCAGAGGAGAAACCCTCGGGTATCAGTGCTCATTTTGCACCTTACTTTGAGACAGGGTCTCTTTCCACTGTGTACCCCAGGCTGACTGGCCCTGCAGTTTCCAGAGATTCTCCTGTGCATCTTCCCATCTCCCTGTAGGAGCACTGGGATCATAGGTGTGTACTACTGTGTCCAACTTTATGTGGGTCCTAGGGATTCAAACTCGGGTCTTCTCAAGTGCACAGCAAGCACCATGTCCATTGAGTTATCACCTAAGAGAGCTAACCTGACTAACATGGGACTTGTGCGCCCTGATGCCGATCTCTGTGTGCGCATTCTCAGTGGTATATGTTGTGTGCGGTGTTACTGCCTGTCTGTCTGCAGGAGAAGGCTATTTCAACCTTATCACAGTTACAAAAAGCAGTTACAAAAAGTACTGGAATCTGTCTGTAAGGTTTTGTATTCTGGACTTCATGGGAAGTAGTTCAAACCTGCCTATTTTGCAGGACTTGGAAAAGGAGAGTGACACACCCCTCCAGCAAGTGTCTATTGAAGAAATCCTAGAAGAACAGAGGGTAGAACAGCAGACCAGACTGGAGGCAGAGAAGCTGAAGGTTCAGGCCCTTAAAGATCGGGGCCTCTCCATCCCTCGAGCAGATACTCTGGATGAGTACTGAGTCCTTTGCTCTAGAGAGCAAGGGCTCCCACCCGGTCACCATACACATATGACCAGACAGAGACTGTCAACGTGAAAACTGATCTATCTTATTCTTTCACATATGCCAACATGAAGAAATCATGTGATTTTGGTTTTTTAACAAAATAATTGTATATTTTGTTTTGCTTTTCTGTTTCAAACAGTTTCATTCTGTAGCCCTGGCTGACCTTGAACTCACTACGTACAGGCTGACCTCAGCTTGTGGGATCACAGGTGTGCTCCACCATTGCCCTGCTTTGTGGTTTAGAGAAACCGTGGCTTGTGGAGCTGAGAATCACATCTCAATATTGCTTTTCTTATCTCAGAGTTTCCATTTCTTTTCAAAAGATATTTCCCTTTTTAATTGTAAATAAAGAATGAATCTCTTAGTGTCATATTATTTCACAAAATGGAGTTACCTCTGCTCAAAAGACAAAGCTCCCCTGCCATCACAGTTCCAAGCTGTCTGCTCGGGAAAACTTTTTTTTTTTTTTTTTCTTTTTGGTTTTTCAAGACAGGGTTTCTCTCTGTAACAGTCTTAGCTGTCCTGGAATTAGATCTTGTAGACTAGGCTGGCCTGGAACTCAAAGAGATCTGCCCGCCTCTACCTCCCAATTGCTGGGATTAAATTCCACTCAGCTGGAAGACATATTTTCATACTGCCTTTTGGTTCCCCGTTCACATTTTCATGTTTATATCTGATCAAGTTTCAAGATTAAGAAGGGATTTTTCAAGGAACTAGTTACAACAGAAACCTCTTGTTTAAAAAAACTTAAATCATGCTTTACCCACAACTATTCTAAACTATTTCTCATAAGGAAGAATATTTTCATAATGTGCTTTGTTATCAGTCTTGTTAATTTAGCTAGGTTTCCAAATCCTTTACACTTAAGTTTTGATCATCTTTTGCTTAAATCATGACGCACACTGAACCACAAATGCTGTCTAGTAACTACTGACACCACCGTGTGGACTTTTGTTGGAAAGTAATGATTGCATAGTAAGTATAACTGATGACACTTGAGAAGCAGTGTGGTTTAGTAGACAACAGGCAGAATGAGGAATGAAGCAACTGCATAGAAATTGGTTTGTTAGCACATTGAAATGCTTCTCAGTAATTTAATTATCTCAGATACTTCCTTTCTATAATCTTTTGACAACGGTACTCTTTCATAAGATCTTTGTGGACTGTTTTATACCGTAATATCAAATATACTTAGTTTATGGATTTAGGTATTTAAAAATTCTGCCCCAGATGCCTGTAAGCCATTTGGTATGTTAGTTCTTCATTTTTTGGTTGGTTTTACAGTAGATACCATTTGAAGAAATTATTGTCCTTGTATTGAGGATATAGCTCAGTAAAAGTGCTTAGAATGTGCAGAGTTCATGCCAGGTGGTGGGTGCCAGGTTGTGATGGCGCATGTCTTTAATCTCAGCACTTGGGAGACAGACGAGAGCACCTCTTTGAGTGTGAGGCCAGCCTGGTCACATAGTGAGTCCCAGGAGTACATAGACCGTGTCTCAGCCAAATCACGTAGCAGAGAGGGCTCCAGGCATGATGCCTGGAACACTAGGTCTCACTGGGAAGCTGTTGGAGCCAGACTGATAGCCGTGCACACCAGGGCTCAGGAGGCAGAGGCAGGAGGATCTCTGTGAGTTCAAGGCCAGTCTGGTCTACAGAGCAAGTTCCAGAACAGCCAGGGCTATTAAACTGAAACCCTGTCTTGAAAAACAAAAGACAGATAAATGGGTAAAAATACAGGTGTCATTTCAAGTTGACTCAGACATTTCAGAGACTGGTAGTGAACCAAAAGGTGAGGTCAGTCAGGAGGTTAGAGAATTACACAGAAGACGTCCCCCCTAGGACTGCCCTAGCTGTAGGCCACAGTCCTCAGGTGAATTACACAAAAGATGTTCCCTAGCTGTAGGCCACAGACCTCAGGTGAATTACACAAAAGATGTTCCTTAGCTGTAGGCCACAGTCCTCAGGTGAATTACACAAAAGATGTTCCCTAGCTGTAGGCCACAGACCTCAGGTGGATTACATAAAAGATGTTCCCCAGGACTCCCTTAGCTGTAGGCCACAGATCTCAGGTGTAAAGAATTTGTGTCAAAGTATCTGAGAACACATCTCAAGAAGCAAGGGTCAGCCAGGGAGATAGGGCCCCGTGGCTCCCAGCTGCCTTCCATGGGGCAGCTGCAGTGTCCACCCTTCACCTTGCATGGCGTCATTCCAGAGACTCCTGTCCAGTAGATCTTAACATTTACCAAGTGGCCTAGAATCCAACGCATATTTTGAGCTAAGTGGGTGTACACCTGGAGCTTCTAACTACCAGGGAAGTGGAGGCAGGGCCAGCTTCCACAACATAGTGAACTCCCCAGGTTTCTTTTAAAGGCCTAGAGAGATGGTGCAGGTTAGGTGGTTAAGAGCCCTGGCTGCTTTTTTCCAGTTTGGTTCCTAGCACCCACATGGTTAACAATTCACAACTGTTAACTCCAGTTCCAGGGGACCTGATGCCCTCCTTGGGATTCCATGAGCACCTGGCACAACGATGGTACACAGAAACACATTGAAGGCAAACAAAGTAAAAGTTTAAAGAAATAGCATGCTCCCCGCCCCCTAAGAAAGTCAGGCATGGTAGCACTGGCCTTTAATCCCAGAACTCAAGGGGCAGGCAGGGAGGGAGACGTGGAAATACTGGGCTAGGGTGACTTGCCCCTTTAATCTCAGCATTTAGGGAGGCAGAAGCAGGAGGATTTCTGTGTGGCATTCCTTTCTCCCTCCTGTACTGCTGAAATACCTTCCCTTTGTGTCCCTGTGAATCATATGGTCATATTCATAGGATCATAATTGTAGTGTCATAGGGGGCATTTAGTATAGGCTGGTTGAGTATTTAATGGGGTTCCCATTTCTGCTCCAAAGCCTGGCCCCCTTTCCCAGCTTGCTCTGTCCATCTGGTCTCCTATGTAGGCTGTGCTCTAATCAAAAGGGAAAACCAGATTTAGATGCCCAGAGTCTGAGGACATTCCCAGACCTTTCTTGACCTTTTCACTCAGAGGACCAGCAAGAGTTAAGTAGTCATGCAGCCGGGAAAGGATACAGAGGCAAACCTTGGCCCTGGGGGAGGTCACTCAACACCCCCGCCCTGAGTCAGTGGCTGCCTCTGACATCAGCAACAGCTGTGAGCCTCGGTGTTCCAGTCTGCCCACACTCCCTCCTCCTTCCTCGGAATGCCATAATTCTCCACACAACAGCAATAGCAGGACCTTGAACATTATCTGCGCGGCTTGTCCCGCGCAACCCCCTCCCAACTTCCTAGCACCTTAGTTGAAGGCAGATCCACGTGTGTCCGAGGCTGCACGTGTACCAAGAATGGGTGCGGAGAAGCTCGGGCAGCCAGCACACACTGCCTAGGCACGGGCTGCAGAGGAACAGCAAGCTTCTGTCTTCCCTGGGACTCACTGAGGGCCGGGAGCGTCACTCCCAGGCAGGCTTCCTGAGCCAAGATATGCCTGTATCTTTTGCTGCTTTCCTAAGCCGTTCCTCCACGGAGGAGTAAGAGTCCACTCTGTCCGCATAAGAACTGAGTGCTGGAGCCAGCAGCAGGTTTGGAGAGGAAAGCGATACCTGTGTCTGGGACGTAATCCCATAGAAGATGATGATGGCAGTGCGTGCCTGTAATTTCAGCACTTGGGAGACAGAGGCAGGAGAACTGGGATTTCAAGCTCCTCCCAGCTACATAGCAGGTTTGAGGACGGCCCAGGTTAGACACTGTCTTAAAACAACCCCACAGAAGAAACAGGCACTGGCAGATCAAGCACCGGGCTACACCTTTCCACGGCACTGATTGGGAGGGTGCGATCAGGGACGAGCTACTAGAAAGCTGGGATGGAGGAAAATGAACACTGGCAGAAGAGGAGTTACAGCCAGCGGGTCTTGGGGACCAGATCTTGGGACCTTGAGTGCCTCAAGGCAGTAGCTCTCAGAACATCTCATACAACTCTACCAGGCCGGAAATGTAGGCAGATTGTAGGACTCAGCTATCCTGTATGGTTCCATGTATGTCCTTTTATCCTTGACAGGGGTCGGGGTGGATCTTGTCATGACTCAGCACAGCAGTGAATGGATACAGAAGTCAAATGCCAGCTGCAGAATGGGGGGACCAGGCAATCTAATGAGATTGTAGACAACAATCTTGCTATAGGAGTTTGACTTAGAAGCAGCCTCAAGGCACCTCCGAAAGGAAGAGCGCTTGGCAGAGCAGTGCTGGGACCTAGAGCTTTGTCCCCGCCTGGCATGCTGGGAACAACCGAGGCACTTCAAAGGCTCTGTGGATCTGTGTCCAGTACCAAAGGCTTCCCTGCCTGCAAAAACTGATAGTAGATAATCCAAATAAATTGCCATTCCCACCTTTGCACACAGGCCAAGTCCTGGAGCAGGGCTGGCCCAGCCTCAGCTGCATGAGGAAAGGGCGAGGAAGCAACAGGATGTAGCCTAGGCCCACGTTACTCTCGGCTAGGGAGCTTACAGAATGGGACAACATATCCACAGTCTCCTGACTTTGAATGGGGCTTTGGGAAAGGTGGTATCATTGAGTGAGCAAATAAATGATCCGTTGAACACACAGGGTGTTCGGGAGGACACTGGTAGAAGGAACCAAGGCCTATCCAAGGATTTAGGCTATTGCTCTACCCATGCCGCTAACATCCTGTTTGTTTTTGAGCTGATCACTGTCACCCTTCAGGCCTGATTGATGGTCTTGTTTTTTTTTTTTTTTGAGATAGGCCTTGGCTCTTCAATGTTGACTAGGCTGGCCTTGAACTGATGAGATTTACTTGTTTCTGTCTCAGAATGCTGGGATTAAAGGTGTGTGCCACCATACCTGGCTCTGGTCTTGTACTGTTAATTTACTCCTCTTTGGTTCTTTTGCCCTGGCTCTCTCTCTGACAGCGTTCTTATATGGAGGTGATCCACCTCGGTCAGTGGACGCTGAGCTTGAGGATGGGGCTTAAAGTCTGCATTTAAAACTTTTGAGAAGCTGTATGCCCTCTGTCCAACTGCCCCATCCCAGTGGCCTGTTTCCTCCATCTACTGAGCCCGGCCCTCTCTGCTCCCTTCTACGCACTCTGCCCCCTCCCACCTTGGCCATCGCTGCAGTGTGAGGCAATCATTCCATCCTTGACCCTCTGCACAGTGACTGATGGCTTTTTTATCTCCGAGTGATGATGCACAGCCTTCCGCTGGAAGCATTTAAGGCAGAGCACTTGGTTCAAACCACAGCTGCAGGACTCAAGGCCTTGAACGGCTCAGGAAGAGCAAACCCTTGAGGCGGCCACATTGCAGTACGGTACTGCCACATCTGCCTTCAAACTATGTTGCTAGCCACATTTAAGCTGTGTGCTGGAAGCTCCTACAGACACATGCGGAACATGAAAGGTGAGTCTCGGGGGGGGGGGGAGGCGTGAGTATTTGCCAAGAATATGGAAAGACTCTGGATGGGGACCAGGCCACCTAGGCTTTGGGTGGTCCCAGCAGTGCCTCTTCCTGGGTGAGCCTGGGTAAATCTTTTCCCCTCTGGATCTGTTTTTTCACTTGAAAAATGAGGTTGGATAGTAAGATGCCATGTCTCACTGAAACCTTATAATTTCTGGCCTCTGCACTAGGACCCTAATTTTTCTAGTATTTCTAGTATTGATGTTGCCTTCTTTCAGGATTGGACCAGGCTATACCAAGGGTCCCAGGCAAATCTTTGTGGTAGAGAAATGTGGAAGCCAGCCTTGACTTTTAAGCAGTGCCTGAGAAGAGCATAAGAAAAAGACAGGAGAGTTGGGCAGCAGAAGTACTAGGCAAAGGTGTGTGTGGGGTGGGGTTCTTATCACGGTATAGTCGAGGCAGATCTTAGTAGTGGGGTAACCCTCAGGAGACGGATGTATCCTATTCCATATCCAGTAGCTCACTGAACAGCCCTTTTCTAGCTAACAATAGGCCCAGGTAAACTTCTGTGCCCAGGTAGGGCCAGGTTTGACCAGCCCACTCTTATTTTCCAAGATGAAAAAGAGATTCCTGGACCCTGAAGTGCTGGAGGAAGTTAAACACTGAACTTGGATTTAAAGACGTGGTTCTGTTTCAGGTCCCTGCTGACACCTGTTCCTGGGCCAGTTTGCTCCTTTGTGATGAGTGGACTGGACAGCCCCTCGCTAAGGGACTTTCTAGTCCTTGGCAAAAGTTTACTTTCGTCTCTGCAGGACTGAGGCACCAAGCTGTGCTGGCCATTGGCCAGGAGCTGAACCGGAGAACATTGGGAGATGCCAGTCCTGGGTGGATCAGTCAAGTTCGGCGCCGGAGCTCTCTGCTTGGTAAGTGTTGGGGCTTCTGGGCTTCAGGGAGTGATGGGGCTTAGGGTGCAAATGTTGCTCATGAGACCTGTTCCCCTGCTCTTGGCTACCTAACTCTTGTATCTACCTTGACCTTCAGACAGGACCTGATCCCTTTGATCTTGCCTCTTCTGAGGACTGAGCACATTCATAAGTTAAAGGGATGGGCGCTGAGGATTTTTCTTTCCGTGGCTATGCATACAGGTTCTCAGCTGGAAGCGACACTCTTTAGTGAGCAGGAGCTGTCCTATATCCAGCAGGGAGAGGTGGCCATGCAGAAGGCCTTGGGCATCCTCAGCAACCAGGAAGGCTGGAAGAAGGAGACCCAGCAGGTAAGTAAGGGTGGCCGAGAGAAACCTGGATTGTCCCACTGCCCATGCTCAGCATCTGCTGGGATTCCTACCTCATTCATGGTTGCTAAGCAGTCAAGTAGCTTTATTTTGAGGACTCCCCTAAGAATATATTCTCAGGTTGGGGTGAGGGCACACACCATTAATCTCAGCACCCAGGAGGCAGAGGAATGGGGATCTCTGGGAGTGTGAGGCCAGCCGGGGGTATAGTGAGACCCTGTCTCAAAACAAACCAACACACAGTATGTTCTCAGATAACCCTCCTGCCATAAGACCTGATTGAGAAACACTGTTCCTATTTTTTAACTACCTCTCAAATGCTGCACACTCATCAAATAGAAACCATCCACTGTGGAGACTCCATGTACACTGGGGGACATATTACCCAGTATATGCAAGAGTATATTTGTACTGTTCAGCCCAGCCTGTAGATGGACTCACAGTGAGGAATGTGGGCTCACCCTGCCATAGAGCTAGAGTATAGGAAAATGGTCCAGTATTGTCTGAAGCCCTGCCCCGAATGTTGTATCCCTTGCTGGGAGCCAGTAACAAGACTTGGGTTAAAACCAGTAGCTCTACTATTAGATCTACTTTGGCAACCTTATTATCTCCAGCAAAAGATTACACACTATCCATCACCCAAAGTTTGGATGAAACATCTTGTTGCTCAAGTTCTTACAGTAATGGAAATAATAGACTAATAGTTTAGAAGTAGAAAAATCTGAGATCCAGGTTCAGCACTGCTCTTTGCTAAGGGTCCCTGGGCAAATTATCAAAACTTCTGGCCCCACATTCTTATGAAGTGAAATGGCATACACTGAATGGACAAAACTAGCAAACAAAAACCCTATAGCTCCCTCTATATATTGGCCAGTTGTAGACCGAGCATTTTACACTCCAGGTCTGTAAGCTTTGGAATCTGGGTCATTTCGGTTGGCTGCCCATGCTGCCAACACTCATCACCAAGACAAGGTGGTCTTGAGTGACTCTACAAGCCTTGGGCAGCAGTGCTTCCCGGCAGAATCCTCGTCAGGTAGAGATCCAGGTCCCTGATGCTCACCTTAGACTCGCTGCTCCCTTTCCCAGTACTAGGCTAGGAGTGACTTTCTCTGTGGCTCTCTTGACCCTAACAGGAAAATGGCGATGAAGTGCTGAGTAAAATAGTCCCAGATGTGGGCAAGGTGTTTCGGTTGGAGGTGGTGGTAGACCAGCCTATGGACAGACTCTATGAAGAACTCGTGGACCGCATGGAGGCGATGGGAGAATGGAACCCAAACGTCAAGGAGATCAAGGTGAGGAACAGCGCAGCTGTGGGTGGCAGGGACCCAAAAGAACGCAGTCTAACAGGCCAAAGGCATCCCAGACTATGGGACCTTAGCCTACTACTGGCTGAGACCTGATTCCCTTGTATTAGGTCCTGCAAAAGATCGGGAAAGACACAGTCATCACCCACGAGCTGGCTGCAGCAGCAGCAGGAAACCTGGTGGGGCCCCGAGACTTTGTGAGCGTGCGCTGTGCCAAGCGCAGAGGCTCCACCTGTGTGTTGGCAGGCGTGGCCACACATTTTGGGGAGATGCCCGAACAAAGCGGTGTCATCAGGTAAAACTGGCGGCAGCCTCAAGGCTGTAGTGTCATAGTCTGGGCCCCAGCTCCAAGAGACCAATCCTTAGCGCCACTCTCTGCTTTAGCAAGGAAGTAAGGCCCGGTGTGGCCTTACTTCAAAGGCCAATTGGTTAGTTCTGACCCTCACAGGAACTTCTAACAATCTTAATCATTTCCTAAGGAGCAGGCTTCTGTGTTCTAACCACCAAGGGGTGTAACAGGAGGCCTCCAGAACCAGTGGTTCTGATGAGCGGGTAGCAGGGCCAGTTAACAGTACTTTTGGTGAAGATCTTCCTGATGAAATTCAGATACAAGGGGTTCTAGCCATGTGCTAGTGTCACTCAGCGGAGCTCTCACTTGTCTTCCTACCTTGGCTGCTCTTCATTTCCCAGAGCTGAGCACGGTCCCACCTGCATGGTGCTTCACCCAGTGGCTGGAAGTCCCTCAAAGACTAAATTCACTTGGCTCCTCAGTATTGACCTCAAGGTAAGGGGCATGGGAGATGCCTGGGAGTAGGGACAGAAATATGGCCTTGTCCTCCAACAGAGAGGAGAACGAATCCTCTTGCATTTTTTCTTGATTTGCTTGTTGTATGTGTTTGCATGATGTGTATGTGTGAATGCAGGCACTCAAATGTCACAGCAACCTGGAGGTCAGAGGACACTGTTGACTTGGGGTCCTGCCTCCTTGTCAGGCCTGGGAGACAAGCACTTTGACCCGCCCAGCCACCTTGCCAGTCGCCTCCTTGCATTTTGATAGAATCACAGGCTGTTGGGTAGGTGATAGACTTAACTATGGCCTGCTATTCTACCACTGTACAAGCCTTGCCAAGGCTACTTCACCTCATCTAAAAAGCTGGGTGCAATATCTACAATTTCAGTACTTAGAGGCGACTCCAGGACCCAGTGAAATGGTTAAAAAAGAAAATCAATTTTATGTATAAATATGGCTATTTAGAAAGAGGTGATCTTGGGCCCAGAGGGAGGTAATGGGAAAGGGGAATACAGATTTCTCGGGGTCACACGGCTGGAAATCCCGTCTCTAACAATAGGGCAACAAAGGCTGCAGCTCTAAACAGAAAGACCAAGCTCTGTTTGGTCTTCCTGCCTGTGTCAGGGTCCAGAACAGTATCCACAAGATACCAATGCTTGCTGGGCATGGTGGTACGGGCCTTTAATCCCAGTACTTGGGGCAGAGGCAGGCAGATCTCCATGAGTTTGAGGCCAGCCTGGTCTTCAAAGTGAGTTCCAGGACAGCCAGTGCTGTTACACAGAGAAATTCTGTCTCGAAACCTCCCCACCCCCAAGCAAGCAAGGAAGCAGAGATACTAATGTTCCTGTCTCTGCTCCAGGGGTGGCTGCCGAAGACCATCATCAACCAGGTCTTATCGCAAACCCAGATGGACTTTGCCAACCATCTGCGAAAGCGTCTGGAGTCCAGCCCTGCCTCTGAAGCCCGGTGTTAACTGTGCCCACTACAGCAACCTGTACACCGTCCGCAGACTCCCTCAGGAAGCCTTCAAGTCCGGTTAAAACCTTCAGCTGGTGTAATGGGAGGAGCAGCTATCAGAATCTAGGGCTGGCTGGTAAAAATAGGCCATCAGGAAAATAGAAATGAGGCTGAGAAGAAAAGACCTCTAGCCCCTCCCAACCGATTAGCTGTGAAGTGGAGGCTAAGGGATAGACATCTGTTACACCATTTTTAGGCTCATATATGCTCACTTAAAAAACCCTACTCCAAATCCAGCAGCTGACATGACAAGGTGGGGTGCTCAAGCAGCGTGCACAAAGCACAGCTTTACACGGGACTCCAGTGACCTGCTCACAAACTACCCACAGATGGAGCCTTCCCCAGCATATTCCAAGTTTTGTCTGAGAAACAAAACTAGTTATTGTGCTGGCTCCCCTACTTCCTCCGTCACAATAAAGACCATCCATGCAAATCTCAGCCTGCCCTTGTCAAGTCCTGCTCCACAGATTCTGTGCTTGGGGGGAGGTGGGGTGTCACAGCTTCATCAGAGTTCGGATTTCCTAGTAATTAGAGGGAACAAGGACAAAGCTCCTGGAGATTTCTCATTTGATTGTTTAGACTCAGAACTCTAGCCACTGGGCGGTGGTGATGCATGCCTTTAACCCCAGCACTTGGGAAGCAGAGACAGACAGATCTCTATGAGTTCGAGGCCAGCATGGTCTACAGAGTAACTCTTGAACCCTTACCCCACCGCAAAAAAAGCCAGTGTGGTGGCAGAAACAGGTGGATCTCTGCAATACTGAAGCCAGCCTGGTCTACATAGGATAGCCTGAGCTACACAGTGAGACCCTGTCTCAAAAATACAAAAACGGATTAGAGAGTTGACAACAGATAGGAGTTCTGGTTGCTCTTCTAAGGGATCCAGGTTGAATGTCTAGCACGCCACATTGCAGGTCACAACTATAACTGCAAACCCAGGAAATCTGATGCTTTCTTATGTGGACACCAGGAATGTACATGGTGTACAGACATACAAACATACAGGCTGAACACCCAGAATCATTAAAACAAAACACACACACACACACACACACACACACACACACACCAACCTCTAGTCAGTCATCATGGCTCAACAGCTGAAAAGATGATACAGGTGAACTGCCCTAAGTTCCAGGCAAGCTTGAACCAGCATGAGATCATCACAACAAACAAAACCAAAATGCTTTAAAGCTATCAGTTAAGATGAATAGCCCTAAAAGAGGAAGATTATAACAGGATTTTCATTTACCTAATTAAAAGGAAAATACTAAATAAGAAATACTAACCAATAATGCTAAGATAAAGAGACTATGTCTGTTGTTTATGAGGTTAGTTAATGAAGAACAGGTTAGACAGATGTCAGTTTGGACTCAGAGCTAGCAACTTCCTTGTTTGAAAAGCTTGAAATATTACCATTTTTGAAGGGAGGGAAAATAAGTAAAAGGCAATGTAGTGATAGCAAATTCATGTTCCAAGCTTTAGAGCAATTATGCAAAGAATTCTAGCTTATTTATGAGTAAAGCAGAAGCCGTGGAACACTGGTATTTATTTAAGTCTTAAGATTTAACAACTGATATTTATTATATTAATTCTGGTTGCTTTCCAGTCTACTTTTGACACAGATGGCTATTGCTCATCCAGGAGCTTCGGAGCGAGGAAGGGCAGTTGTAGGGCTTTTTTGCTACAACTGTCACCATGATCAGCTAGGAAAAGATTCAGCCCAGCACCAAGTGCTGGCTTTAAGAGAAAAGGCTGATGAGGAAGAAATGGGCCTTTAACACTCAACTTCATTTGCTCCTTCACATCCTGTAACTGTACCTTTGTGCTGTCTGAGATGACCCCTTTGTTTAATTTTACATTCAAATAAAACTAGTTGTCAATGGTAATCAATAGGCACCTCTAGATGGGTACTTATTTTGAATCTTTCAAATGAAACTTGTTAACAAATTCAAGTTCACGACTGTACACACACTTTTTATTGTTTCGCCTTTCAGATTTGTTCTTTAGAAACGGGGTCTCATTCACTCTGTAGTCCAGATTGGCTTGGCACTCATTTCAACCCTCCTGCCTCAGCCTTTGACTGCCGCGATTAATGGTATGACCCACTGCCACCTGCCCTTTTTCTTCCAGACACTAAGTATTGTCAATTAAAGTACCACTTTGGTAACCTCCAACATATGAAAGCCATCCAGTTTTAAATTTAGGTAGGGCAGATGATTTATACATTTATATGCCAACACTTTACCTTTAGTTTCTACTAATAACATTCTTTTCTGGGGAGTCCTTCAAACTCCAACAATCTCACTGTAAGTGCTTGTCCTTCTCAGATCAGTCCTTGCGTTAGTGATAGGCTGTGACCCCTGCTTACAATAGTACCAACTCTATAGTAAGTTTCTTGTTAAGATAGTAGTAAATGGATAAGCCAAATGTGGTGGTCCCATTCTAATCCCAGTCCCCAAAGGGGGGCAAAGGAAGGCAGATCTCTGTCAGTTTGAGGCCAGCCTAGTTTCCCATATACAGCCAGGTTACATAGACCCTGCTTCAAAAAACAAAAGCAAACAACAAAGATATTGAATGGATGAAATGAGGAGTCTGGGTGATTCAGTAGGAGACAAGTGTAATAGTAATAGTTTTGCCATTTGTGTTAATAATCACTTGAACCTTGGGGAATTCCTTAAATAGCAAAATAAAATAATTAGAACAATAGGAGCGGTCCACGGTAATTCTATATACCACCTAGCTCCAGTGAATTCAATCACTTTACCTAGTACTTAGGTTAAAAAAAAATACAACAAAACAAAAACTACATAAGGCAGTCTTTAGTTCATTCTAGGGGTTTACTTTTTAAATACAGATATGTATTTTAAAAAGGAGGCCATCAGGGAGTCCTCCTAAAGGAAGACTCATTTCCATTCTTGGATCTTAACCACTGGCTGGCCTTGAGAAAGGCAGGCAGGCAAGAGAACCCCTGCACACACCAACACCAGGTTCAAACAGAAGAGCTAGGAGGCCATTTACACTCTTGCTCTGAGAGATTCCAGTTCCCACAGGGCAGCGGAAACGCCTGGTTGCTCGCAGAGGAACAGGGCAACAGAAGAGGGGTTGAAGCCTAAGCCAGAAGTCTGTCCCATTCTTCCAGTGCTACCCTGTTCTCACACTGTCATAAGAGGAACTCAACCTCGAGCGAAGTCAAGTGCCACCCAAGCTTGCAAACAAGTTTTATTGGAGGAAAGATCTAACTGCTAAACCTGCAGGCAAATTCCTTTCACAATTACAGTCCATAGAAACCTACTAGGCTTCACAGCTCCCCAAGCTCTACACTAGAAAAGATAGCTTTCAGACGGCATTGGATTTCAGCCACTCTCAGAAACCAGGAGGGACGCAAACATCTATAAACTACTGCATGGGCATGACTGTTCATTTTAAATGAGAACACAGGAAGGTAACAAGTCCTGCGGGCAGGCGTGCCGCACAGCACCAGTTTCACAGACAGTCACACTTCCGAATCTGCGGTTGTTGACTTATGTATGGCACTCACAGAGTAAGAGCGGAAGCTGAAGTGGGGAGGGAAGGCTGAGGATGGGGAATCTGCTGCAGTCCCACCCAGCCAGCCTCTTTTACCTCAACCAAAGTGTGTGGCAGCATCTTTGGGACAACATTTGACACTTCATACACAAAAGCAAAAATTTGGATATTATTCCACAGAAAGCTGAAGCAAGGATTGGTTAGGGCTCCCATGGGGGACTGCGCCTTCCGTCCACTTCTGTTTCCACATGATACAAAACATCAGCCAGCGTGTGCTCCACCACAGCGCCCCAGCCCATGTCGCTCATCTGCAGGAGGAACAGAAAATAAATGAGCGATTACAAAAGCCATAGCAAGAAATAAAAGCATCAAGGATGCATGCAGACATTCTAATGGTACTCACAGGGTGGTAAGTGAGATCCTTTGGAGGATATTTGAAGGATGGCCCAAAGTTAATGGAAACCTGGGTAAGTTCAATTCATGCAGACGCGGGAAAAAAAATGGAAAAAGAAAACAAGTTTATTCGGCAGGGGATATTTAAAGGAAAACTACAAGAAGTAGAAATTGTGGTGCATCCCTGTAATCCCAGGACTAGAGGCTGAAACAGGAGGATCCTGGGTTTGAGTCTATGCTGAACTACCCAGCAGGCCCTGTTTCAAAGTAAAAACAATGTCACTAAGATTGGAACAAACAAGATATATATTAACATTGCTAAAAGTGATCAACACCGTAATGGCTATCAAGCACTAGGTAGAAATAGACTTGTCACTGATTTCTGTTTGGAGCCCAGAGATTCCCTAATCTTACTTTGTTTAGTGGGAGGTAGCAACACTAATTAATACACGGAAATCTCCATGCACCAATTTTTCCTTTTATAACAAGCAGCAATGATAATCCCTTTCTTCATGCAGCATTTTTTTTTTGAGACAGGGTCTCACTGCACAACTCTGGCTGTCCTGGAATTCATTGTGTAGATCAGGTTGGCCTTGAACTCACAGAGAATTCAGCCTGCTTCTACCACCCAAATGCTGGGATTAAAGGTGTGCAACACCATGACTGACTATACATATATCAAGTATAAGCTATAGTTATTGATGGCAGTAAACACATTACATAATTAACCATGACACCAATGACTCCCGAATGCATGTTCTTTGTATGTTTCATATTAAACAATGACACCTGCAAAGCTTGGGGCATCCTAACATCTGCAAACACTTGAGTCATCCAGAGGTTTTCAGATTTCTTTCTACCAGTCACTCCCCTCTCAAATCAGCGCTCTTTCATCACCACCCCTCCACACACACCAAACACAGGGTACGTACCGTGCAGCTTTTGTACAGTGAAATGGCCGGAAAGTAAACTCCCTCAAAAATATCTCTGTAAGCCACACCCTGATTGACACCATTTTTATAAAATATTATCTGAAACAAAGATCAAGGTTTTACTTCAGGTTTTTTTAAAAAAGAACAAAATATGAAAAAAATCCTCAATTATGGAACACTGAATACTGTTACCAGATCAAATGACAATAATGTTACTCCTTTGAAGAATAACATATATTTTATATAGCATCTTAAATTTATATGCTAGGCTTTTCAAGTAAAATAATATTTCCGTTGACTTTAAGCTCATTTGTTTTTAAATCTCCATGCTACAGATCCCGAACAGTTCAATAGTTATTCCATGTACATTATACTTGGGGGAGGGACTGAGACAGTCCCATGTAGTCTAGGCTGGCCTCCAGCTCACTCTGCTCTGAGGGTGCCCTAAACTCTTGCTTTACACCTCATAAGCACTGTGCTTACAGGCATGTGCCAACACACTTGGCTTTCATTGCACCGTGCTTGTAACAAGTATCAGAAAGACTTGACTCTCTGGCAAGAACTTTTTATTGCTTATTTCAGCTTTTAACTGATCTAATTTCTCCTCCCACAACGTTCAGAACTGCTGTCTTACTCCTCTTGTCTTGTTTGGCCCTGGGGATGTGCCTGGGAGGGGAAGGCAGGCGAGTCCTAGAGCACAAGTGAGCTATCAGGCCTGGTATCTGAGTGACACCGCCAGTCTCCCATAGTTCTGGTCTCCCTCTGTACTTGGCATCTCCTAAGAGAATGTCTAGCTCATGGCTTCTTTAATCTCCTGCATGGCTCCTGATCAGGTCAGTGTTCTTTCTTTATCGTCCCAGAAAGAACATTCTAACGCAACACAGGACACAGGGAGCACAAACGACAGGTAGAGGAAGTTCTCAGCTGCAGGCAGCCATGTTGACCAGCATCCCTCAGTACCTGAGGGCCTCAGCTGCTTCACTCAAGACGATCCTGGAACTCGCTCTTGTAGACCAGGTTGGCATACCTCTGCCTGCCAAGTGCTGGGATTGAAGGTGTGTGCCACCACCACTGCCTCTTTTATCCTCACAGATCTTCAAAGCATTATTACTCTGACATATTTATGACTGTGACTCACCTCGCTATGGGGAGTCTGTTTCAGGCTCTTTTCTGCTTTGTCCACAAAGTCTTTTTCTTCAAAATACAAATAACTCTTGAACTTTATCAAAGCCTTGAAAATCCAGTAAGAAAAAAAGAAAACGTCATATTCAAGAGTCAGCTACATCAGCACAGAGAAAACAAAGGCAGATTCACACAGACAGTGCCATGTCAGTCTTCCCACTGAGTTCTGTGGATTTTTCAGTTCCTAAGCACTATGTAGCCCAGGCTGGCCTTAAATTCACAGAGGTCTGCCTGCCTCTGTCTCCCAAGTGCTGGGATTAAATGTGTGTGCCATTAACACTTGGCTCTTAAGCACTTCTTATTTATTTATTTATTTGATTGATTGGTTTTTCAAGACAAGGTTTTTTAAAGTACCTTTTCTTAAAAGAGACTAGTGGGCTATGTTTGTTATGCATTTCCCAAAAAAGACCTTAGTAAGTGAATTATACATAAACACTTATAAAAACACAAAGTACCTATAAAAAAAAGTGAATTAATTGAAAAATCATGGGGAAATGTTTCACAGAGCTGACTACTTCTTATTCTATGACAACATTTTTGGTATCACTGGAGGAGTTAGTTATATGGTTGATTTTTCACTAAGCACACCAAAGAATTCCAGGGGAGATGCAAGAAGTTAAAATAGATCATGTTGAAATATTCTGATATTCCTAAGGAAGAAAGACGTGTTCACCCTCCCCGTTGTATACAAAGATTAATTCAAAGTAAGTCATCAGTGACCTAATGCAAGGTCAAAGGTAAACACGGAAGGATATCCTCATGACTTGTGGGCACACCAACATTTAAGTCACAGAAGCAAACACAGAAGAAAAATCAGAAAAAAAAAAAACCCACAAACAAAACCCAGGCTTCATAAACATTAACACTTTGGCACTTTGGTTCATCAGAAAATCGATTAGGGCTGGAGAGATGGCTCTGTGGTCAGGAGCAGACACTGCTCTTGCAGAAGACACGAGTCTGGTTCCCACCTGTGACTCCAACTCTAGTTGAATCAAACTGACACATCTGACCATTGTGGGAGGTACACAAAAGATACCATTAAAACTGAACAGAGGGCTGGGGCTGGAGAGATGGCTAAGTGGTTAAAAGCACTGGTTGGTTGCTCTTTAGAGTTCCTGAGTTCTATTCCCAGCAACCACATGGGAGCTGATGCCCTCCTTGGTGTGAAGATGTACATGCAGACAAAGCACATATATACAATAAAAATAAATAAATCTCAACAAACAAAACCCAATACTGCATAGAGGGGCTGGAGAGATGGCTCAGAAGTTAAGAGCACTGGCTGCTTTTTCAGAGGACCTGGTGCCTACACGGTAGCTCATAATAAAGTGCAGGTCCAGCCTATGGGATCCACTGTCCTATTCTGGACTCTGGGCAACAGGTATCCACATAGTGCACATCCATACAGGCAGACAACACACTCACAAAATAAACACAAACAGATTTAACTTTTTTGTTGTTGTTTTTTGTATTTTTCAAGACAGCATTTCTCTTTGTAGTTCTGAATGTCCTGAAACTCACTCTGTAGACCAGACTGTTGAATTCAGAGATGTATTTGCCTCTGTCTCTCAAGTGTGGGGATTAAAGGTGTGTGCCACCACCACTTGGCAATTTAAAAAATGTTTAAAGGGGACTGGAGATGACTCAGAAAGTAAGAGCAACTGTTCCTCTTGCAGAGAGCATCCAGTTTGATTCACAGTACTTACAAGACAACTCACAACCATCTGTATCTCCAGTTCTAGGTGATCCTGGTCCCAGGCAAAACACTCACATACAGTATCAGGCAGTGGTGGCACATGCCTTTTAATTCCAGCACTTGGGAGGCAGAGGCAGGTAGATCTCGGTGAGTTCAAGACCAGCCTGGTCTACAAGAGTGAGTTCCAAACAGCTAGGACTGTTACACTCCAGAGAAACCCTGTTTTGAAAAATTAAAACCAAACAAACAAAAAAAAGACGTGGTTCGGTGGTAAGGTGCTGGCCAGTCATGTAGAAGGCCCTGGGCTTTTTAAAAAACTTTTTAAAGATTTTGAATATAATATATATAAAATTATATATAATTATACACACACACACACACACACACACACACGTACTATCTGTATGTACACCTTTACACCAGAAGAGGGCATCAGATCCACTTATAGATGGTTGTGAGCCACCATGTGGTTGCTGAGAATTGAACTCAAGTCCTCCAGAAATGCAGACATTGTTCTTAACCTCTGAGCCATCTCTCCTGTCCCTGAGCTTGATTTTTAAACACTAAAATACTTAAAAAAAAAAAAAAATTCTGTACCTGAAAAAAAAAAATTTGTGTATTTCATATATGTGTATATGTAAATCCAAAGTTGAACAATGACTAACGATACATTTCCCGAAGTACCTATTGGGGGAATTACAATGATGTCCACCAATTTTCCAGTGGTATATAATAGAAAAGAATGAATTGATAACATGTTAATGGTAGAATTTAGGTGGACTACTCAGGGACTAAAGCCTTAATTCTTTCAATTTTATTGCTATGTCTGAAAAGATATGGGAAACACACACACCATGGGGTACTATCACAACAGAACCTAAGCAATAGCTACAGGGGCTGATTGTCACAGGTTATCAAAGCCACGAAGCTGTTGAAGGAGGACAATCTCACCTTATCTTTGTAAGTATCCGGCAGTGACTTGGCTGTCTCTGTATCTTCGGGAAGATTGATATAAAACCCTAGGACATCTCCTTGTCCATAGCCAGACGAGTAGTGTTTGCCAATAGACTGGTGGAACTTGGTTCCCTTTTTGCTCCTCCAAGAATAGCTAAATTTATCATACCCTAAGGGAGCTTGAAGGTTACCTGTCCCAATGAAAAGACATGAGAGATCAGAGGGCTGCAGTTAACGCTCATTCTTTCCACCGCACATCTCTTTGGTCAACTCTGTAAAGCGCTCACAAACTATCTCGACAGTATTATGGGAATACCAAACTGGCTACTTCCTCAGGAATTTAACTGTAAGACCATAATCTTGCAAGCGATGAGCCAGATTACCCCAGCTGTAAGCCCACACAGTGCCCTCTGCTTACCCAAGGGCTGGGACCAGCCCAGCCTGGCAGCAGTATCTGGTGGCATCTCATCCACAGTGATTTCAAAGTACCAGGCACCTTTTCGTACCCCATGAGAGGCCCGTACCATGGAGTAGCCCTTCTCTCCAACCACAGTCAGCCGGTCATCAGAGATCTTTAACTGGGGAGCTACAGTGAAAAAGCCAAAGACAAGGAGTTATTTGAGGTACTCAGAGACCTCAGCACACCCCCCTTTTAAAGAATTACTTATTTATTTATCATGTATACAGTGTTGGTTGCAAATCTCATTATAGATGGTTGTGAGTCACCATGGGGTTGCTGAAAATTGAATTCAGGACTTTTGGAAGAATAGCCTGTAACCTCTGAGTCTTCTCTCCAGACCGCCCCCCTTTGTTTTTTTTCTTTTTTTTTTTTTCCTTTTTCTTTTTTTTTCTTGGCTGGAGAGACAGCCATGGGTGCTGGGAACCGAACTCTTATAGTTTTGGTTGTGAGCCTAGCCTTTAATGGCTGAGCCATCTCTCCAGCCCGTTTTTTGTTGTTTTGGGACAGAGTTTCTCTGTGTAGCTTTGGAGCCTATCCTGAAACTCACCAGGCTGGTCTTGAACTTACAGAGATCTGCCTGCCACTGTCTCCCAAGTACTGGGATTAAAGGTGTGCACCACCACCGTCTGGCTCTGAGGTGTTTCTACTACACAAAGATCACAAAAAGCCCCCTCCCACCCCACCCCTCCGCAAAAGCCGGGTGAGGTGGTGCACGCTTTTAATCCTAGCATTTGGGAGGAAGAAGTAGGCTGATCTCTATGAATTCTAGGTCCGCCTGGTCTACAGATTGAGTTCCAGGACAGCCAGTTGACACAGTGAGACCCTGTGACTGTAAAAAGAAAAAAGGCAAAAATTACTAGATCAAGTGTTTATGGTTCAGCACTACAAATGAGCTGCACCTTCACCAGTAGCCTCTTTTGGCCTCTCTGTAGGGACTTCAACCTTACCACACAGTACTTCTAGGACCCCTTCAATCCCATCTCAAGGTTTCCACTGTAACTGAACGGAACCTTCACCAACGGCCTCTCCCGGACTGTCTCCATGTAAGGTGCGGAAGAGGCTTCCACATTACTAGGTTAGGCTGCCAGCTTGAGATGCAGCCTTGGCCCGCTCTGGACCAGAGCTCTGTGTACTGACCCTGAGGAAACACTTCCTAGAAGATTTTCCCTCAGTGCGGCTGGTGTCTTCTTAGTCACAGTTGATTCTTCTGCCTCAGCTGACCAGAAAGCACAGATTCTTAACACAAATATCAAATATGCAGTTTCTGAGGGCCTCTCTGAGCTCATGCAGCCTTCTATGCCAGCCTCCACCGCCAGCACTGCTTTCAGCACGCTATCTTCCAAGCTTCCAGACAACAGCCCATTCAGCTTTGCATCTACCCACGCTACCCCAGAGCAAACAGTTAGGCCTTCAGAGCAACGCCTCACAGCCCTGGCACTGGCTTCTATCCTAGTTAGATCTCTACTGCTGGGATAACATCATAACCAAAACAGCTTGGGAGAGGAACAGTTTACTCCATCCAACACTTCCATCACTGAGTCAACGCACAAACGGAACCAGAAACAGAGGAATGGTGTTTACTGGCATGCTTCCCACAGCTTGTTCAGGTTGGTTTCTTTCTTTCCTTTTTCCCCAAGACAGAGTTTTCTCTCTGTAGCCCTGGCTATCATCAAATTCAGAGATCCACCTGATCTGCCTCCCAAGTGCCAGGATTAAGTTGTGTGTCACCACCGTACACCAGATTTTCTTTTATGTGCCAAGAACCACCTGCCAGGGATAGCATCGCTGCAGTGGGCTGAGCCCTCCACATCAATTATCAGGAAGGTGCCCTATTGATAGCCCACAGGCCAATCTGATGGAGACATTTTCTCAGCTAGGGTTCCCTCTTCCCAAATAACAGAAAAACTAACCAGCACAATTTTCCATACATACCTCGATCATGTAGTGCTAACAAAACCCGTTCATATAAGCAAGCTCTGTAGAGGTCTCCAGGAATAGGCTTTCCCGCCCAGCAGTCAAGTTCAAGCTTCTCTGGGTCAGGAGCATGAGGATCGGGCTCAGCTAGAATATACCGATAGCCATCTTTGTTAAACGGGTGTTCCAAGGGGTAGCCATGAGGGGGGAGACGCTGAGCAGAAAACAAAGGGTCACTGAAAAAAAAAAAAACCTCATTGAAAAAATAGGTTCTTTTAGTTCACCTGTGCACTAGTCTGTAAGAGGCCTCTAAACCAGGTGGTGTGGTGCGCTTGGAGGCAGAGGCAGGTCATCTCTAATTTCAAGGCCAGCCTAGTCTACAGAGCCAGTTCCATGACAGCTAGACAAAGCAGAGAAACACTGTCCCAAATGAAAAGACAAAGGTCTCTGATTTGTTGCTTCTGGTAGAGTGCATTCAACTTTACAACAAATGCTTTACTTAACTCAATCAAATCACCAGACACCTAGTAAAGACTTCATTAAATTACTTGTAGTTTGTAGGGGACACCTAACTCTATACATGCACTGCTGTTTTACAACCTGCTTTATCCTATTCTGGGTCAAACCCAGGCCTTTGTATGTTAGGAAGAACTCTACCAACTGAGCTATACACATCTCCAGCCCTCTATAGTTCATTCAGTATATAAACTGAGCTATGTGCATCTCCAGCCCCTGAAATTCATTTGATATATAAATCAAGAGACAGAAACCTAGAGACAGAAGATTTGCCTGTCTAAATCAGAAGTGACCTGGATTTCATCACCTCGGCTTTGGACAGGAAAAGGAAGAGACATGGAAAGGGGAAGAAGGAAGCTGAGGCACTAACAGTGAGTAAGCTTTATTCTCTAACCTATCTAGCCATCCCAGGATCTCATAAGGGACTTTATTCCCCAGAACAGAAGACACTATTATTGGGCCTTTTGTTGTTTCAATGCTGGGAATTCAACCTGGGGCCTCCCACATGTCAGGCAGGCCCTCTAATACTGACCTGTATTCCCAGTGCAAGCACCTAATTTATAGTAATGGATTCATAAAAGAGAAGACCTCATTTGAAGTTATTGTCTTACCAGGGGTTCAGAACTCACCACAAACAAACAAAATCCCATATTCTTAGCTTTAAGAACACTGCTCGTTCCCTTTCAGTGGATTTTGCCTATAGCACATAAACAGTGTGTGGGTAAGTGGGGTGGAGGTGATCCCACCTTCGGGCCTTCTTGGTCGTCCCTGTGGTCCCTCCATCTTGCTGTTTACGCTTGGCTCCCCTTCCTTTCCCACTGCTTCCTGCTGCAATTCCCCCTTTGAAAAGAAGACAGATCATTTTCACAGAGCCACTATGGAGGCACAAAGGTACTCAAAGTCCATGGTGACTACCATCCCCGAAGTGCATTTGTGTAACATCACAGAGGGTCTTTTTTCCCTTGCTGTATACTGAATTTTTAGCCTGGATCTAAAAGTATCAGCTGTATCTCACAGCCAATGTCCTGGGCCAGTTCTGACAGTAAAGGTCACACAAATCTTCAACCTTCCTTTCCTCTTTAAAAAAAAAAAAAAATGAAATAACCAATCAATTAATTAATGCATGTATGTGTAGGTCAGAGGATAACTTTGTAGAGTTGCACCTGGACTTTCCATGGGCTCCAGGACTGAACCAAAGCCATCAGGCTTATGCAGCAAGTACCTTATTGACCAAGTCATCTTTCCAGCCCTTTCTTAACGGACTGTAAGCAACAGCACTTCATGGGGTTGTAACACAAATGCATTTGTATTCAGATTCCAAGCACCCACAGCTAAAAAAGAATGAAAACAATTGCATGGATTGTGTTCATCACTTAATACAAACATTGATGTAAATGTTCTTATTGTAGGTCAATGTCCACTTGCTTGAACTGCGTAACATATTTAATAAACATATAAAGGCATTATCTACTTAAAGCGCTTGAATATACAAGACAAAAGCAAAACAGAAATACTAAAAAGGTGTTTCTCTCCAGTGTTTGAAAATTCATCATAGTTACATGACTCAAGAACAGAGGCTTTAAATTTAGTAAGCAGTTTTTAGTTCCTCATCAATACACTTAAGACTGTGCCAATGAATTCAGTACGTTATATGAACGTGGTTTGTAGAATTAAGGGTAAATACAACAATTTATACATTTTCTATTAGAACTTACTACATAGTCAGGTCACGAGAAATATATTACCTTATGTGTTTTTTCTAATTTTTGCCCATTTCTCAGTTTGTTTTTCTCTTTCCAGAAAATGTCCCTCAACTGCAGGAAAACACCTTTATGTAAACAACTGCATAGAGTACTATATATAAATTTGGGACAAGCTTGAAAATTATCAGCATTTCTGCTGCAATAAAAAGAATAAAGACATGAAGGGCAGGTCATATTCTGCAAACACAGTTCCAGATTAATGCAGAATGTCCTTTTATGAACCTGGCTGTTATTCACTCAGCTCACAAAAGGTTTAATGTTAAATAGTTGTGATGACATAACTATCAATTAAAAACCTGCAAATCCTCTCCTACCATTTAGAGGCTGCTTCAACAGCCAGCAGCACTAAGAGGACTGCTGGCTGGCTATGTCAGGCAGAATATGACAACATCAAGCTGTTATTCCCACCATTAAACTGGAACTATAGCTGCATAGTAAGTGCCGTCACACCACTTTCACAATGCTTTAAACTTATTTAGCTTCTACAAAAGCTCAGCAAAAAGCACTTCAAACCACAAGATACTTAAGTCTGAGGCTGAAAGAAGACAGAGAGGAATTCACCTCCCAAAGTGGCTCCACCTGTAAGAACAGAAGCGGCACTGTTTTGTCAACATCAACAGTTACAGAGGGAAAGCACGGTGTAAGGTAATAAACACATGTGTATTCCCAACACACCTTAGGATGGTAACTGGACAAGATTGATATATTTAAAATGCTCCCATTCTAACAGACAAGTTAATGAGTGATGCCATGTGTGGGATGGATAGACACTAAACTGACCCCAACTCACCCCCCAACCCTGCCTGCCAGTTCTCATTAGATTAGCAGCAAATAGAATTTCCTCTAATAGAGGGATTATGGGGGGGAAGCCATACTAGGTAATCCAGACAGAAATTTGTCATATGAATTATGCTGAAATTCACGGAGAGAAAATTAGATGGAGACAGCTGAACTATGGAAAAAGGTTGAGAGCAAATGAATTCTCCACAAGTGTTTATTATGATACAGATGTGGAATCTAACATCACAGAAAGTGTAACCTTGAAAGTCTACAGAAACAGTCCGAATTGAGTTGGGTGGATGGACATCACTAATGCTCGCAGACTGAGAGTCCTAGTACATCCACTGATGTGTCTAACTGATGAGCTAACAGCACTGCTAATGACACCAAACTGTTGCAAAGTGACACCAGCGCTCTCCCACTGCCACCCCAGTGTCTGCTAGCGGCTGAAATCTCAACGTAAAAGCATCTTAGCAATCACTCAGGACTGGGTCATCCTAGAACACCCAATTCTAGGCAAGGGTTTCAGAATTCACCAATCTTTGGACAGGATATTTAAGCACATACCATTTAGGTTCCCACTAGCAGACACAGCACTGCTCTGTTTTTGGCTGTCATAAGCAGGGCCAATGTTACCGAGATCCTAGAAGAAGAAACATCCCAGTAAAAAGACGGCCACATGAACAAATTAACCTGATAACTGCTAAAAAACAAACAAGAAAGACAAAAGCAGAGCACAGAAAATGAAAGCCATTATCCTAAAGAGCAAACTGGCAAGGTCCTTCATGAAGGTGCATGAGTGCAGCAGGTCAAAAACTAGGGTCAGGATGACTCCAGGACGCAATCACCCAACCAAGCAGGTGGAGGAGGGAGAGCCGCACAGCAGGCCAGCGTGCTTAGGTACCCTCACTCTGTGCTCCAGGAATTCTGGCCCACAAAGCTGTATCTTTCCATTTATGAGACAGAAATCTGAATTTCCAGTGGCCATTCTACAAAGGGGGCCACCGAGATGGCCAGCTCTTCAAATCTTCACAGGCAGTAAGCAGCTCAGTGGCTAGGAGGCTGAGAACAGAATTTTTGAGTCTATGCCACACTGAGAGATCTCTTCTCAAAAAAAGTTAGCAAGTCAAGCATTTTAAGGCAAATCTGAAAGTCTTTTTAGTTGCCAATGTGTCCTTTGACATGCAACAAAAAAAAAAGGAAATTTCTTTTTCCCATAGGGTTCTAGCAACACATATCACATATTCTTCGAAATTTTCTCCACCACAAAAAATGTTTTTATAGGAGCAAAATTTCAGCTAACAGAATACGGGGCGGGGGGCCTTGGTCAGACTTTGTTGACTTCCCATGGAAGTCTTACCCTTTCTGAGGAGTGGACAGCAGGTGGGGTGGAGCGAAGGGTAGAGCAAGAGGAGGGGAAGGAGTGGGAATGGGAATTAACTATGTAAAGTAAGAAAAGATTGTATTAAAAAATGTTTAATTTAAAAAAAGAAAAAAAAAGAAAAAGAAAAAAGCTTACAAAAACTAAGCCCCAACACTAAGGAACAACCAGAATCCAAACTGGTCTCTGAGCTAGACATTGTGGTTCCCACAGGTGGTCCTAGCAAAGGGAAGGCTGAGGCAGTAACAACTATTGTGAGTACAAGCTAACCTGGGCTACAGTGAGATCTTGTTACAGAAAGTTAAAACACTTGTCACAGTTGAGTGTTTTCTCCAGGTGTCAATAACTACTCAACTGGAGCCCATTATAGTAGTGTGTCTGACAGATGCAAACAACCCTGTGTGTATGTGTATGTACATGTATGTGTGTTGGGAGTGAGGGGTTTGCACATAACCAAGCATACTTCTGGAGAGACCAGAGGTCAATAATAGTGTCTTCCTCTATCAGTCTTCCTTTTTGTATGTGGGTGAGAACAAGTGCTGATGTAGAGGTTAAAGGTCAACTTTGCAGGGCTAGGCGGTGGTGGTGCACACCTTTAATTCCAGCACACAGGAGGTAGAGGCAGGAGGATCAGTGAGTTTGAGGCCAGCATGGTCTACAGATTGAGTTCTAGAATAGCCAGGGATACACAGAGAAACCTTTGTCTTAAAAAAAGAAAAAAGGGACAACTTTCTAAACTGGCTCTCTCATTCGACCAGGGCCTCAGAGATCAACTCAGGTCATCAGGCATGCATGGCAAGCAATTTTTACTGGCCTAGCCATCTCACTGGCTCTACCTATTTTTTGAGACTGTTTTTCACTGAACCTGGAGCTTGCCATATAGGCTGACTGGCCAGGAAGCTCTAGGACCTGCCTGTCCCCGCCCCACACAGTTGGGCTTATGGATGTATGCTGCCAATTCCTGGCTCCTATGTGGGTGCTAGGGAATTGGGGATATGAACTCAGGCTCTCAGGCTTGCACAATAAAAACTTACGCATGGAGTCATCTCCCCAGCCTCCTCCTCCTTTGGTTTTTTTTTTGTACATGGCCTCATGTAGCCCAGGATGGCCTCAAACTCGTGATTCTCTGTTTGTCCCTCCTTACTGCACCGTCATGAGCACATCACGACCCCAGGTTATACAGTGCTGCTAAGCAAACACTATCAACTCAGCCATATCTCCAGCAGACCAGGTTCAGTTCCCAATACCCACATGGCAGCTTACACTTGTCTGTAACTCCAGTTTCAGGGGCGCTGCTCCAACTCCCTCTTCTGGCCTCTACAGGTACTACAATACTGCATATACCTCATATACATAAAGATAAGAGATAGAGAATGTGTGTGTCTGAGAGAGAGAGAGAGAGAGAGAGAGAGAGAGAGAGAGAGAGAGAGAGAGAGAATGAGAATATATCAAGGAAGGAAGATTAATGTACCTGATCCAAAAGTCCAAATTTGGGATAATCTTCTTCTGGGTCTTTGCTTCCTGGGTCCGGGTGTTCCTTTACCAAGAACACATCTCTCTCCTTACTCTAAAACAACACAGTATCTTAGTAATAATAAACATTTTTCCCCCTCAGAAGTACAGTTGTTCAGTCATCAACTCCAAATGTCAATTCCTAATTGTGCTCTCCAAAACCCTACAGTTACTGATTATAAAGCTGTGTTAGGCGGTGGCAGCTCACACCTCTAATCCCAGCCCTCAGGAGGCAGAGGCAGGAGGATCTCTATGAATTGAGGCCACCTTGGTCTACAAAGTGAGTTTCAGGACACCCAGGACTATACAGAGAAACCCTGTCTCAAAAACAAAAACACAACCAAACCAAAAAAAGAAAAAAATTACTGTATGACAATAAAAACTCAAATGGAAGAGGCACTTTTTTTGTTGTCTGTTTTTTTTTTTTTGCTTTCAAGACAGGTTTCTCTGTGTAACAGCCCTGGCTATCCTAGAGCCAGCTCTGTAGACCAGGCTCGCCTTGAACTCCAGAGATCCATCCTGCCTCTACCTCCCAAGTAAAGGCGTGTGCCACCACCACCCAGCTGAAGAGGTACTTTTCAAGGGCCCATATTCAAGGCTGTTGGAAGTAGTTCTGGTGAGAGTTCTTGCCCAGAATGCATGAAGACCTGGCTGATCCCTAGCAGAAACACGAGGTAAAGTGGCAGAGGTGAGGTGGCGGAGGGGAAGCCAGAAGTTCAGTCACCTTTGTCTACATGCTAAGTTCAAGGCCTGGGCTACAGGAGACCTAATATAAGAAAAACAAGAGCCCGTGCTATTTTCTCACGGAATTAACAAGAGCTGGCAGCCTACTGCTGACCTCTCCCCAAGTGCTCTCATTACTTCTATGTTCAGAACACAACTTCTTTTATATAATCAAAAATAAAAATTGGAAAAAATATTTGAGCCTCCAAGTTTAGTATAAAATCAAATTGCAAAAGTGTTATGGACAGAGGGCTCGGCTCAGTAGTTAAAAGCACTTGCTTCTTTCCCAGAAGACCCAGGTTTAGTTTCCACTGTTAGTATTAGGTGGCTCAAAACCACCTGTAACTTTAATTCCAGGGAATCCCAATGGCCCTTTACTGGCCTTCATGGGCACTGGATACACATAGTACACACAGACACACATAGAGTACATACAAAACAACAAAAAACAAAACCTAAAACTAGCAGCAGAAGCTAAGCAGTTTTGGGGGACTGATATTCACATAAGGCATTATGTTATTAACTGAATTTATACAAAAAAAATCAAAATTTAACAACCTGTATTTCATTCAAGGATTAATATCAAATAGTCTGCATTTTTCTCAGTTATCACATTATTTCAAACTAAATAGAATTTAACTATTAGAAATAATACTGGCTTTTTGAAACTGATCCTCTATGCAGTTTTTAATGTACTTACCATTGTTTTGACAATGTTATTGGGCCAAGTCATTTTCCCAGGCCTCTGTCTAGTTGTCATACACTCCCAGTATTTATCAATAAATGGTATAATATCCTATTTGTAAGAAATAAAATACATTAAGAATTATAATTGTTTTCAAAGTTATACACACGGCCTCTTTTAAAGCCCTCATTACAATCAAAACAAAGATCCACCTGTAGCTTTTAAGTTCATGGCTCAGCCTCAGCACTTGCCTTAGGCAGGAGGTGGCTGTGTGTAGTATAAGGAGCGGTGGGCTGCATCCCGCCCGGCTCCTGGCCGCCTGACTGGCTTACACCCGGGCTGCTTGTCGTCCTGGCCACCCGGCTAGCTTATGCCCGAAATAATCACACGGAAATCTGTATTAATTAAATCACTGTCTGGCCCATTAGCTCTAGCCTCTTATTGGCTCTCACATCTTGATTCAACCCATTTCTAATAATCTGTATGTCACCATGAAGCCGTGGCTTACCGGGAAAGATTCAGCATGTCTGACCTGGCAGCTTCTCTGCCTGCCTTCTTTCTCTCAGCATTCAGTTCTCTTTTCCCTGCTGGTGTGGGAGAATTGTCTGTATTCTGTCGATCATGTATTTTAATAAAACGCTGATTGGCCAGGCAGGAAGTATAGGTGGGTCAACCAGACAGGAAGTGGAGGCAGGGCAATGAGAATAGGAGAAGGCTAGGGAGGAGGAAACTTCCTCAGCCATTCCTGCCCAAACCACCGAAGAGGCAACATGTAAGCTGCCCCGCTGGAAAAGGTACTGAGCCGTTTGCTAACGTAGATAAGGATAATGGGGTAACATAAGTTATAAGAACTAATAAGTAGCCTGACCTAATGAGCCAATCAGTTTATAATCTTATGAAGTCTTGTGAGTGATTTTCTTTGGACTTGCCGGCTGTGGGGTACTGGGCGGGACAGATACCCCAACAAGCTGGCCCTTGTGTTACACCCCGCCTACCTAAGCTTCTGCCCTATCAAAAGGCCAAGGCAGTCTCTTTATTCAACCAATGAAAGCAACACATCCTACACCATTTCCCCTTTTCTATTTAAACGAAAAAGAAAGGCTTTCACACTTTAACATAATAAAATTACATATAACAAAACAGTTATCAAGCAAGAATTAGTTACAATATTTATATCTATTTTATCGTTTATCATAACTAAGGAAAACTATATCTATTCTTCAACTCCATCAAAGACTCCAGAAGGATATATTACCTAAGTAAACAGGAAGTGCATTATAAGCAACTTCCAAAACTCTAGAAATGACAGAGACATCTTGCTGCCTGGACAGTCACCCAAAGTTCCTCTGTACTGTTGGGGCATCCATCTTCAGCCTACAGGCCCATAGTATCCAGCAGACATTTCCATGAAGCAGGAAATTCCAAAGACAGTTCAGGCACTTTCTTTTGTATCCTGCAGAATGTCCCGCAGACTCTTTCATGAAGCAGGAACCCTGAAGGACCATCTCACCTTTAGGCAAGTTCAGCAGTCCTCTTCTTCGTGTCCAGTTTATGCAACCGTCCAGGCAAGAGCAGTTTCTTGCCCAAATGGCTAGCAAACTCCATAAGGAGCCTCTTCGATGCCCATCTTCCTCTTGAAGTAGCTGGTGCTGCCAGGAGCAGACGTGTCTCATTGTCATGAAAAGTCCTAAGTTATTAAAACATTAAATGCCATAGTCTGTAGTCTTTGAAAGATATGAAGAATGCCTATCTAACCAAAATATCTCTATATATCTAGAAAATCTAACTAATATTACTATAAGCTTGACTATTATCGATTATCCATTAACAACCTATATTTTCTAATTATACATTTTTAAATGAACTACACAATCACAATACCTTAATCAAGATCAGAAATACATACACGTATAACAAAATTGACCTTAAATTTATATCAATAAGTCAAGATTTATACCAATGCAAATTATTCATACCTACATCAGCTGTGAATTTCAGGTCAAACAAACCACCAACCAAATATAGATTTGGGGCATTTCAAGTAAGTCGACACAGGTTTTAGCTACTCAGGGCCGACAGTCTCTTAATTTAAACCATTTTTCTTAATCTGTATATGGCCACGTGATTGTGGCTTACCGGGAAAGATTCTAACCAGCGTCCTTCTCAGGCAGAAGGACTTAAGGATGTACTTAAATTGTACTCCCATCCCTTGGTTGTCAACTGGAAAGTGGCTTCTGTCCTGAGGACACCATACAAACCATGTCTTTTTTGTAATTAAGATAAGAGTTCTGCACCCTCTTCCCCGGAACCTGGGCCTGTAGCAGTTAAAAGGACCACCTGTGAAAGGCAGGCGGCCCCAGTTATGTGCAGCTTAACCCCCACCACCATGAGGAGGAGCGCTGGGGGCTCAAAGGCAGCGTGTGAGTTCTGCACCTTCTCAGCTTGCTTTGTAGAATTCTATTTTTTTCTCTTATTTAGCATTACTGACCACTCAGAATCATAAACTTTAGATACCCTTAACTCATCTGTTACTTTATAACCATAGTCATTACATGAATTTGAAAGTCAGAAACTTCGCCTGTCAGACTCCTCTTCACCTACTCTGGTGGTGACCAGCTTGCCAGCTGTTGTTCACAGGACAAAATCGATGTTTGACCTTGATTCTCTGGTATCACCATTTTAGACCATCTCGCAGAACCCTCTACCACACAGTCAATTCCATGAAAACTAAGTATTCACCAAACAGAAAAGGAAATCAGGGACAGTGTAGGGAAAGCTTAGACTACTCTGTCACCCAAAAATAAGGAATTCAGAAACTCATGGGGACTTTTGGCTATCAAGGTGACAAAATTATCCTGGTCAGAAGTGAGACAATCAAATGTCAGAAATCTGGTGGACAATAATAGTTTATATTATTGCTTCTCGGGTCAATGAAAGAAATGTGAGGTTAAATCAAACACAAGGGAGAAGGATAATAAAGACACGGCAAGCACAAGCTGTGAGCCACTGTCCTGTAATACAGTGTGTTTTACAGCGCACTTTAAACTTGCAAGACCCACTCGACAACAATGATAAAATCACAGCACAGCGATGTATCTTGGTGGCTCTCATCCTTCCCATCTTTGCCTGCAGTCCATAATGGCCCTCACCTACCCAGTTAGCAATTTTTCCCTGCAGGGACCAGAAAGAGGTCAGAAACCAGGTAGCCAGTTCTGTGCTCCTGCTAGGGAAAGAACCAGGGAGGCTGAAGCAGAGAGACTGAGTTTGAAGACTCCGAGTTCCAGGCCAGCCAAGGCTATATAGAGACTGGTTCACAGCAGACTTGATTATGGGATAGATGACTTGTTTGCTTTCAAAAAGCCAACTGAGTTTACTTAAGAATTTATAATACTGACAGCTAAGCCAAATGACACCAACTAGGAAACTGATAAATTATTATTTCCATATATGGAATAAACAAGGTAGCTACTAGATGATTCAGTTATAAAAACCGAGGAGACTATTATACTTGTTAAAGAAATCTAGAAGTTTCACTTGATTCTATAGCATACTGCAATTACATTAACTCTAACTCTACCTTATCTTTGGAGAACATGGTTTTTGGATGTTCATCCTGTGTTCGAGACTGCCATGTTAGGTTCGCCAAAGCACTAAGGCACATTTCTTTTAAATCTATAAAAAAAAAGTGAAAGATGTGTCTGTAAAACTCAATTTCTACCAATAAGAGCACATTCAACACAGGAGGTGTGATGGTTAGTTTCTACTTGACACAACTCGACCCTTGAGGGATGAGTTACATCAGGCTGCCTGTGGGGTTATCTTGACTCTGGAGAGTTCAGAAGGCTTGCCCACTACGGGTAGTACTATGTCCTGGGCAGGGGATCCTAAACTGTATAGCAGAAAAAGCAAGTAGAGCTGAAACATGCTGTTCTGTGTTTCTAATAATGAGGCCAATGTGGTCAGCTCCCTCAAATGTCTGCTGCTGTGACTTCAGTCATGATGGACTGTGACCCCCCCCCAAACCTTTTCCCTTACCAGGCAGAGAAACCAAGATAGTGGTCTACAAAATAATAACGGGAAGAGCCAAAGGTAATAATTTGGTTTGAAATGGGCAACTGCAATTATTCAGAGCGAAATACCAAGCTGATTCTAACCAGTTCTTAAAAAAAGGTAATCTAAATGTGCTAACCCAGATCCCTTTTGTTTTCCAAGGGACAATCTTTTTAAAATACTCCAGAGTTATTCTTACTTGCTTGCTTCCGGAGAAAGTAGGTATTTCCACTGTGATGGCAGACATTGCAATGGAAACTGTAGTTGGTCATAAAAGGTAGACATGATCTGTGGATGAGGCAAATTACACAAAATTAGTGAACCACTGAACACATTCCTATGCCTTCTTTTAAGAAAAAGTTATGCATGCTTTCTTCCTTAAAAAGTTTATTTATTACTATTGTTGCGTGTATACATGATACATGTATGGGCACATTTGCCAAGGTACACATATGGGAGCAGGAGGCCAACTTGTGGCTCAGTTCTCTCCTTCCAACTTCATAATGGTTGGCAGGGATCAAACTCAGGTGCCAGGCTTGCCTGGGAAGTGTCTACCCACTGAGCTATCTCACCAACCCACTCTGGCTTTTTCTGCGACAGGGTCCTGATTTATAATTAGCTACAGCCTGTACCTTAGCTTCCTAAGTACCTGAAGTACAGGTATGCACCACCAGCTCCACTCAATATACATTTTTTTTTCCTTTCAAGGTCTTATGGTATTGCCCTGTCTAGTCTGATGTTCAATAACCAGCTGGCCTGGCCTCAAAATTTAACTATAGAGACTGATTCAAAGGCAGGATGATTTCTGCAGTTTTTTTTTAACGGTTTATTATATTTTGTATACACTGGTGTTTTGCTGCATGTATGTGTGATGGTGTGATGGTAATAGGAGCTACAGACAGTTGTGAACTGCCACATGGGTGCTGGGAATTGAATCCAGGTCTTCTGGAAGAACAGACAATGCTCTTAACCATTGAGCTATCTCTCCAGCCCCAGATTTCTACAATCTTAAGGCCAATTTGGTCTACAAAGGGTGTTCCAGGCCAGCCAGGGCTACACAGTTAGAGAGGCATCAACTAACAGCTATTCAGAGTCAAAAAAGCAAACCTACTAGCTACTGAGCTATTCAATAGAAGAGGAGACTCAATCTGAGTCATAATGTGATTTTATTTCTCCAGAATAGATGCTTTGACTAAATACGTGTTTAGGCACAAGTTGTTTTTTTTTTCCTGACATAAGTATAAGATACTTATATAGGGGTAGATTATAAGCAATTCGAAAGGAAACAAAGTATACTTTAGGTATGAAAAAACACATATACAGATTAGTTCTTGAGAAATTAAAAAAATGTCTTTCTGATGTTGGTGATCCATCCAGGGTTCTGCATACAGTGGCCGAGTACATTACTAATGGACTATATGCCACACCTTCAAATTTTTGTGACAACAGGCTTTACCATTGTAAATATCAAACCCAAAGTACACGAGACTTAAAAATATAAAATTAAATATAAATTAAAAATTTGCCTCAAATCTAATTATATAATCTTTTCTAGTTATATAGTCTTACTTCCCAATCATTGTAAATTTAAAATCAAGGGCATGCCTAATAGGGCACTGCTCTCAACACTTAAATATACACTAAATGGCAATAACTCTTTAGTCAGCATACTGGTCACTGAACAGGGGTTAGGATGAGCACATTATACTACCCATCGATCTACAAACTGAAGCAACTGTTGAGTATGTTAAAGAAAGTTCTTCTCCTTTGGTGTTTTTAAAAATGCCTTCCAATGTTTTGAGATTATAATATGATTACACAATTTCCCTTTCTTCCCTCCTTCCAGGTCTCCCATGTCAACCCTTCAAATTATTTTGCAATTATGAGTTTTTGTTTTGTTTTGGTTTTGTCTGCTTTTTTTTTTTTAAATCTATTTTATTTATTATGTATACAGTATTCTGGGTATTCTGTCTGCATGTATACCTGCACGCCAGAAGAGGGCACCAGATCTCATTACAGATAGCTGGGAGCCACTATGTGGTTGCTGGGAACTGAACTCAGGACCTTCGGAAGGACAGGCAGTGCTCTTAACTACTGAGCCATCTCTCCAGCCCTTTTGCCTGCTTTTATATCTGTGCATAACTTGTATGCAGGGCCTTGCAAAAGTCAGAAGAGGGGCCAGGCAGTGGTGATACATGCCTTTAATCCCCAGCACTCAGGAGGCAGAGGTAGGTGGATCTCTGTGAGTTCGAGGCCAGCCTGGTGTAGAGTGAGTTCCAGGACAGGTTCCAAAGAAACCCGGTCTCAAAAAACCAAAAAGTCAGAAGAGGGTAGTGGATCCCCTATAGCTAGAGTTCCCTGACCTCCCTGACCACTGTGAGCTGCCACATGGATGCTGGGAATCAAACCCCATCCTCTGGAAGAGGAGCCAGTGCTCTTCCAGAGGTCCTGAGTTCAATTCCCAGTAATCACGACCATCTAAAATGAGATCTGGTGGTCTCTTTTGGCCTGCTGCCATACATGTAGGCAGAAGAGCACTGTATACATAAACAAATCTTTAAAAAAAAAAAAACATGAAATGTACTCACGACGTGTCTATTCCGAAGGTGTCAGCAGTAAACCATTTCGTACATATTCCACACTGCAACTCCACCTCTCCCAGTTGTCGACCATTCTCTTCATCCACAGAACCCACCTGGGTATCCATCGCTTCTGAAGTATCACCAGCACCTTCCTGGAGAATCAAATGGGTCGGCTGACTACATTTTTTTAAAAATTAGATTAAAAATCTTAAAACAAAATCTAGTTTGCCTTTCAAAGGCGTAAGATAATACTTACTAGAGTATCTTTCCCATTAGAAGATTCTGTCTCCAGACCACTTACATCGGCTAAGTTTGCATCCCTTTAAACAAAGTAAGAGATTTCAAGATAAACAAACTTCAAAATACCTACTCCGAAACCACCAAACAACAAACAAAAACCGTGGAAGCAAATACGGATGGACTTCCCAGGCTAAGCCTGTCCTGGACTGGATGCCCAGGGAAACAATCCGAACATCAAGACAAACACAGTGAAGCCTAATGGGTCGTTACATACATGTACACGGCTTAGAGATGGTCGGGGGGGGGGGGGGATCACAGGGATCTCCGTTTCCTAGGGCTTTCGGAAGGATTGTGACTTCTTCCACACCGGTACCGACGGGAGATGCCCTTCCTACGCTATTTCGGGAACCAGGATTAGAAGAGGCAGTAGGATTGCTCAAGGGAGGGAGAGAGGGAAACAAGCTCGGCTCACACGAGCGATGAAGGAAACGAGGTCTCAGGCGCAGTTCCGAGCCTAGCAGCCTGCCAGGTTGCAAAGGGCACCGCGCAGGCCGAGCCGTTGGCCGCAAGGCCTGGGTCGGGAGGGCCGCACCGGAGCGGCGCGAGCCGCGGGATTGCACGAGGGGCAGGCCCTCCCTCTCGCGCTCCCGCGGGCTGCAGATGCCTTACCCACTCTCAGCCTCTCCAGAGCTGGGCTCCGCTCCCGGAGCAGCAGACGACCCCTCTCCAGCCGCGGCGGCCACCGGCTCCGTCTCTCCCTCCTCTGCCGTGGTGGCGCTTGCAGCCGCTCCAGGACCAGGACCGGAGCCCACTCCAGGGACAGAACCTGCCCCAGTGGCCGCCATTGCTAACCCTTCGGTGGCTCTCGCGAGAATAGAATCTGTTCAGTGAGTTGCCGCCGGGCCCTGCAGTTTTAAAGTGGTAAAGGCCTTTTGTGGGGGGGCCCACCTCTTGCTTGTGAATCAGGCACTTGGAGCCCGCCCGCTTTAAGGTCAGAAAAGCGGAGCGCTACGCTGAGAGCCAGGGTTTGAGGGAAGCCGCGCACTAGGTCTGTCCTTTGCTTTCCTCTAGGTTTTACGTTATTTCTTAAAAACAAAAACAAACAAAAAAACCTGCTCATTTTTCGTGGCTAAGAGTGGAAATCACCTCGTATATGGGGGATTTGAAAGCCTTGCCTTTGAACCGTTGTGTGAAGAGGGAACTGCATAAATAAGACGTAAGAAACTTCCAGACAAAAAGAGCACCTCGCTAGCTCAGGCCTGCTCTAAGCTGCTGCACTCCTGGTGGCTCGCCAGAGCCCGCTCCCTGGTGGCTTTAGGAGATTCCAGAGCCCGGGTAGGAGACGAGACTGAACATCTGGCCGGAGGAGGCTAGGAGGACCGTCCGCGCCTGGAGCTGCGGGGCTTCTTCCAGGAGGAAAATGAAGCCCCGGGGCAGAGTCGGCACCCGAGAACTGAGTTTAGACAGGTAGACTAGCAGACACTAAAAAGTGGAGAACGAGGGATAGGAGCTGAAACCCTGGAGTAAGTGGAAGGAAGTGTAGGGTCTCCAAGCTCTAGGATATAGACTGTAACCCAGTCTCCCTCCTCCTCTCTTACTCGCTCTGTGTGTGTGCATGCGCGTGTGTGCGTCTATGTGGGCATGTTTGTGCCCTGGCGCACTGGAGAGGTGACAAGACAACTTGCGGGAAAGATTCCTTCCGTTGTGTGGTTGTAGGGATCCATCCAACTCAGGCTGAGCAACAAGTGTCTTTACCCACTGAGCCATTTCACTGACCCTACATTTGCTTTTTTTTTTTTTTAAAAAAAATGATTTGCAATAGAACATCGATCTTAAAAAAAAAAAATAGGGATAGATCATTGATGAGTTACTTTTCTGTTGCCATGAGGAAACGCCATGACTAAAGGTGACTTAAGGAAGAAGGTTTCATATTTTGGCCTGGGGGCTTCACAGGGTTAAGAGTTCATGATGGCAGAGGAGAGAAATGGCAGCAGGCAATAGCGACTAGAACACATGACAGAGCGCTCCCATTCCTTACCAGAATCGCCAAGCACAGAGAGGGAACTCCTAGAAAGCAGCTTTACTTTGTACTCATAAAGCCCGCCCCCAGTGACGTACTTCCTCCAGCAAAGCTTACCACCCCCCCCCCAAAGCTTCCTCAGATACCACACCAAGTGTTCAGATCCCCCAAGATGAGGGGGGACAAGTCTCATTCAAACCATCATAGATCATACTTCTTGGGGAGTAAACTTTCTCTAAAAGTAGTAAAGATGTCCTGGGAATGTAGTCTGGCGTGCAGAAGCCGTGGGGGTAAATCACCAATAGCCCTTAAAGTGCCAATAGGACCCAGACTGAGGGAACCCAATCAACAAAAAGGACTGGGTTCAGAGCGTGGACAACTTCCGGGTGACTACATCACTGAAAAAAAAAAATTGCAGCCCTTAGCACTGCAGCCACTGCCAATTCTCCTTCCTTGAGGAAGGGTAGAGCCTCATGTGGTTCCCTACCCAGAGTGAAATGGTGACAGGGCCCCATCTTGCGCAGCTACTGGGATTTTATGAGCGCAATGGTCGTTCCATGAGCAGAAGACTGTGAGCGTGGGGGGTTCTATAGATGTCTTGCTTAGGGCTGAGGACTCAGCAGTCGCCTTTTCTTAGCACTGGTCAATGGAGTTTCCACATGAAGCCCTGCAGAAAGCTGTTAGGAGTATTTCCTAACGCGAGCTCCCTGCCGACGCAAAAATTCCCAATCAAGCCAAATCAAAACAAGCCAAATTAAGAAATATCCAGTTTAATGGGAGATCTGTGCTCTCGGATGGCCCCGAGGGGGAACAGGGAAGCCACAAAAACAAGACCACCGGGAGGCAAAAAAGGGAGACCAATTATTCCACTTTTGGGGGATCACTTAAATACCCTGAGGAGTGGTCCTGACCTGTTGGGGTTGGGATCAGGACCTGGCCTGCTGGGATTTGGAGTTCAGACCAGGCCTGGGGGATGGGGTAGATGCGAGGGGCAGGGGCCTATGCTCCCAACTTGACAAAAGCAAGCTTCTCTGACAAAGGCTGAGAGCGGCAGAGTCTACTGCTCTAAACAGATACATAGAAGGCAGTTTGAGCACTTGATAACTTAGCTAAATAACAGTAGTGTGCCCCCCTTAGTGCTGTGGGATTCTGAGCAAAGAGATGGGACATTGAGATTTCTTCAGGAAAATAGCTCTGAATGATGCTAGAGGACTCAGCCAAACTTCTGTTCAAAAGACTCCTGGAGACCCTTGGTGGAAACAGCCCCACCCCACCCCACCCCCCATTGTTGAGCAATGGAGTGTTTCTCAGGGAACACAGCAAGGTCACACAGAAGCATTTGGGCGGGGGACTAAAGCACAGGGTGGTCGCATTGTGTACTTTCCCAAGGCCTCCAGAAGCTTCAGTAAGTAAAGAGGGTGTGTGGGGGACGGCTGTGGTGAAGCTGACAGTCAGTCAAGGACATTGCTTGGCCTGCTGTTATGAGTCTGTAAGGATAAACAAGCCCAGGAATGTTAAGATGAAATATTAAGTGACACACAAAATGAAACTAAAAAGTATGAAGCAATGTGTGCAGAGGTGATAAGAGTTTGAGATGATGAACAAGTGTGACGTAACTATATGATAAGCAGACATGTGTGTTAATCTAGAATTAAGAAAGTAAAGTAGCCACGAACAGTATAAAAACTTGAGGCTCACGGCCAGAAGACATTCTCAAAATGACTTGCTAGACATGCTGTCAGAGCGGTCATAGAGAATCCAACGAACCAGCAACTTCACAGCTGAGACCGTCCAAGAGCCAGAGAACTAGCTCTTGCCTGCGGATCAAGACTTGCTGATCCAGAGGTCTACATCGAGAGCCATGGACCATTATCAGGTTGTATACACCAATGCCTCAGTAAGATAGGATAGAAGACCTTGCCTAGGACATAGGAACCCTTGCTGAATGTACGATGTGATTGAAGGTGTGATGTGATTGATTGACTAGGATTGTTATAGTTTTGATGTTTACTTATATCTGCCATAGGAATAACTAGAGATTTAAATGATTGTTATAGTTTTGATGTTGCCTACACCTGCTATAGTAACAATTGGAGATTTGACTATTGGCATAATAAACTTGTTCCTAGAACAAACACTGTGGTCATCCTGGGTATTTACTTGCAGACCTCTAAGTAAGGGCAGAATGCCCGCTCAGGAATAAGGCTCGCGACAGTTGGCGTAGTCGGCAGGATTGACCACAGTGAGGAGCTCCTGAGCTCCTAGGGGGAAAAAAAAACCCCTCATTCCCAATTAAGCCAACGCATCTCGGACGCCCCGAAGCCAACTGCTTGGCGTGCGTACGTGCATATGCCTGGTAGGAAGAGCGGGAGGATGCGCAAGTAGATTGCGTTTGGTAACCCCTGAAGGAGGCCTAAACCAGAAGCACTACTGGGAAACGTTCACCACCCTGACGGCAACCGCTTGTCTGCAGGTTTCTCCTGCAACTGGTGGGAAGACCCGAGGGAAGTTGGGGACCATCCCGAGAGTCCAGATTCAGACAGGTGTCAACTCCTATTGTTCAGGCGATTACCAACTCCTATCAAGTCAGACAAATACCGACACCGGAAGGTGGTAAAACCGGGAACCTCTGACAAGCAATAAGGCACCGGGAAAGCCTGATAGTAATAAGGAGCCGGCTAAGTCTGAAAAAGGAAAGCTGACGGAAGGTCATTCCAGGGAGAGCGAAGAAGGGAATGAGGAGGTGGTTATCCAAAAGAATAGAAAGAAGGGCTGATCTCAAATTTGAGAAATTAACAAAAGCCACTCAAGTCTCCAGTTGGTCTTGGTACTGGCAAAAAAAGGAAATTAAAGTGCTGTACTGGTTGGCAAGTGTGATGTGGAAATGAAGAAGCTAGTCAAAAAGCTGAAGGGATTGAATATCTCCCTCGTAACAGGGAAGGAACCAGCAGACCAGGTAGAAGAGAAATGGATGAGTACTGCTAAAACAGTGAGAGACAGAATAGGAATGAAAGAGATAAAGTTAAAAATAGAATTAACTGATCCAGATACAGTCACTGCAGTGATAGAAAAGGCACCAAAAAAGGAAGTGTCGGCACTATTAATGAAAACTGTGCAAGATGTTGATAAAGACAGAATTATGGGTAAAAAGCTGGCTTTGAATATGGTGAGAAAACATAGAGACCTGGCCAGTCCCTCTGATCCCACCTACTCTTTCCCTGTTGTAACTAATACAAAACGGACTCCAATTCGAAATGCCATAAATCGGCTTATCACGCCAAATGACTCTGCTCCGAATCCAGGGATAGATTAGAGAGTCCAGACCATATAATCCTCAGGAATTGTCAGACTTGAGGAAGGATTTCGCCCAGAATGGTGCCACAGATGCACAGTACATGGTCAGATTGTGGGAAAAAGGAGCAGACACAATCTTATTACATTCCACTGAGACGAATAGAATTAAAGGTATAATAGAAAATCCTTCAGTTTTTGAAGCGCTTCAACAGACTCTAGAGACAGCAGCAGGAGACACCCATCCATTATTAGACTGGATAACAGCAGCATGGAGGCTGGCTTTTCCATCCCTAGACCTCACACAATTTGAGACTAGCGCAAAATGGCACACTTATAGTGAAGCCATAAACATATGTCGTAAATTAGGGGTCTTATGGCATATTTACAATCAAGCCCCCACTCCCCAGGCAGCACCAATGACACCAGCATTTATCAGAGTGGTAATTAAAGGAGCTCCGCCACATCTGCAAATGAGCCTTACAACAGGATTACAAGCCAGCCAAACCATAGGAGATGCAATTAGACATTTCAAGCAGTTTAGAGAATTGGAAGCAGAAAAGGTGGTATCATTCCAAACACAAGTGAGGAGACCACCTCCTAGGAAAGACAAACCCACTTCAAACTGGAAAAGATTAAGAAATATAAGATTCAGACCATTTGGAAACAGGAACACGATGCCTATAAGGCCAAATGGCAGAGGCGGACCATTTAAAAGAATAATTGGAAGACCCGCCACCCCATTCCCTAGGCAGAATAATTTTTTAGGACAGAGGCCTGGCAACCGAAGACCTTCGGAGCCAAGGCAGAATCAAAGGCAAAGACAAATAGGACCAGTCAGACCCAGGTTCAGGAACAGATACGACCCACACAGACGTTAGACATGACTAATAACAGCTTTGAAAATAGACCCTTTGTAAATATTCCAATTAGAATAAATGGTAAATTAATACCCACTAGATGGCTACTGGATACAGGTAGTCAGATAAGCATAATAAATACTTTAAAAAACCAAAATAAAAGTAAAAAATGGATAGAAATAGCAGGAGTGAATGCTACACAGAAGGTACCAGTAATTGAAATAGAGTTACAGCTATATGATAAAATCTATAAAATCCAAGCAGCAAGCTTTGCAGCACCATGCAGTGTGTTAGGCATAGACCAGATAAAAGAGATTTTTCCAGAATTTTTACAATATAAGAAAATTTAAAAAGTATATGCAAACTTAGCAGAAGTAAAAGTAGAACCTGTAATGTTGCCTAAAATTAAGCCCTCATTTACACCACAGTACCCCATTAAGGGAGGCATAGAGCAAATAGCAAAAACGGTGCAGGAACTGTTGAAGGCGTTATAGCGCCAACACAAAGTGTTAACTACAATTCACCCGTGTGGCCAGTACTAAAACCCAACGGGAAATATAGATTTACTGTGGACTATAGGAAGATAAATGAAAAAAGTCCAAAAATGCCAGGATCTTTGCCAGATATTGAAGATATATTTTTAAGAATAAGACAGAAAGCTCCAAAATGGCTAGCTACTATAGATTTGTCGGATATGTTCTTTGGGATCCCATTACATCCAACATCACAGGAGATTGCATGACAGAATAAACAATACAAATTTTTAAGACTACCACAGGGACATTTAAATAGCCCCATAATAGCACACACCACACTGACACGAACCCTAGAGGATTTCGATTGTCAGGGGTGGAATTGCCATCTTATGTAGATGATATTATAGTCTTTGGACAGGAAAAGGACAAGGTAGAACACGCAGTAAAAAGAGTAATACAGCATTTGAGAGATAAAGGATGGACAATAAACCAGGATAAGATACAAGGACCAGATACAAAAGTAAAATTTTTAGGAGTACATTGGTCAGTCACAGGACCACAAATATCAGAAGGAATTATAGATAAAATAGAACAGCTAAAAGACCCAGAAAATAAGCAGCAAACACAGCATTTAATAGGACTATTTGGATACTGGAGACAACATGTACCATACCTACAAATTATATTGAAACCCATATATGAAGTAATTAAAAAATCACAAGACTTCATATGGGGAACTAAACAAAAGGAAGCTAAAGAATTAATAATAAAGATGATTAAGGAATATAAAGAATTAGTATATATACAACCCACAGATACAGTAATAATAGAAGTATTATATTCACAAGGATATGGTAATTGGAACATTTTTGGAAAATCAGATAGGATATTACCAATTGGATTTTATTGTAAAAGATTCCCTTGGTCAGAAAATAAGTACTCTCTATTTGAGAGGACCGTCTGGGCAGTCTATGAAGCATGCAGAAGTATACACTCCCTGCTGAGGAACAACGAAACCATAGTGAGGACTGAGATGCCAATCGAGGATTGGATCAAAGCCCCTGGGGAGGCATGGGCAGGCCTACCAATAGAAGCAAAGGTACTACATTGGAAATGGTACCTGATGGACTTCTATAAACAGAACAAAGTGTCATCGAAGGGTAGTATAACAAACAAATCAAGCGATATCCTTCATACGGTAAATCCGGATGACTGGCTAGTAAGACCCAGTGTGATCCCAGCAAAGTCCCCGGCTGAATAGTCATTGAAGCTATTAGGCTTCTGGGGCACGGAGATATATTCTCCAAAGGTCCTGAATGCTTGGTTTACGGATGGTTCCACAGCCACAGTAGGGAATAAAGTGCATTGGAAAGCAGCAGCATATAGACCAGAGGACGGCCAAATAATTACAGACCAAGGAACAGAAAAATCAGCCCAACATACAGAAGTAATAGCCACAGTTCTAGCTGTTAGACAGACAATAAAAGAAGGTAAAAAAACAAATAACGATATATACAGATTCATGGTGTGTAGCAAATGGAATAGCAATATGGTCAGGAAAATGGAAACAAACAGGATGGAAAATTAATGGCAAACCACTGTGGTCCATGGAAGCATGGAAAGAATTAGAGCAGGAAAGTGAAAATGTAAGAATAACAGTATACCACGTGGATGCACATACTAAAAAGACAAATGAGATGCATAAAAATAATGATATAGTAGATAAATTAGCTGCATTAACTATAAGAATCAAAAGACAATATAAAATAGAAGATAGAGAGCCACTAAGAAAGATAATAAAAACAGAATACAGGATTCTTCAACCAAAACTAGACGCAGTAGTTTCAGATCAGGAGATTAGAACCCTACATGAACAAATGGGACATATAGGAACCCATGCAATGAAAAATTGGTTTCAAGGGAGAAATATAGATGCACCATGGCATAGGATAAAAAATGTGATACAAAAATGCCCAGGATGTCCAACAAATAGGATAAGATTTAACCACAGGTACGGAGGAACTGTGGGACCTAGGAAAGGATTTAACTATATAATACAAATAGACTTTATAGGACCACTAAAAGAATTTAAAAATGCATATGCCTGCACTATGATAGACATAACTACAGGACTAGCCCTGGCAAAACCAGGCCCAAAGCCAGACCAAAACACATGTATTCTAACAATATTGCAGTGGATAGCAAATTATGGAACACCACAAATAATACAATCAGACCAAAGAACACACTTTACAGGGAAACTAACACAGAAATTAGCAAAAATATATGACATACAATGGGAATTCCATCATGGATACAACCCGACAGCAGCCGGAGCAATAGAACGATTAAATGGACTTTTAAAACTAAAATTGACTCAATATAATAAAGAACCTTTAGGCAAAGCACTTCTATTAGCCTTAATAGATTTAAATAACAGACCCAGAATGAATAGATTAAGCCCTATAGAAGAAGTAGTTAAAAGTATGCCTGATATAGAATATCCGGATACTTTGGACAAGGAACTAATTAGACCCTATATGTGTGTCCACAGGAATAGGAAGAATAATTCCCTGACAAGAGCAGAAATTGTGGCAGAAACCGAAAACAATAACCTGTGGATAACACAAGGTAAAGGAGATTTAAAACAAGTAAAAAGAGAGGATATTGCATGAGCAATGAATTGGATGCGAATGCCAAAATGGTACATAAACATCTTAACAACAATAGCATTCACATTATGGGGAATTATACCACTGATAGATGTGACATTCGATCTATGCCCAAAAATGTGGAAAGGAATGACCAAATTCAACAGCACAGACACGCACCCAGCATCACTCTTTGTAAACTAGACTGTGTGCTGGCTATACTTTGTCAGAAGGTAACTGGTGACAGCATTAATAGGGACACTACCACTCCCACAGAATTACCCTTTAAACCTATGGAAGTGCCTACAGGATATAAATCAGATTTATTACCAGAATATTGGAGAGATTTTAGAGATTGGACAGAAATGACAGGAGTAACCAGAAGCTTTTGGCAAAAATATGCATATTGTACTGAATATGCATGGAAACAAGGTTGTGAACAGTTTAGGATTGCACAACATGGCACAACACACCATATGAAAACACATATGGCAGATATGACAAAAATATAACAAATTTAGATGAGGAAGAAAACCCACTGAAGTGCCATTGGAGCGAACTATGGACCAATAAAACTAACCAAATGGCCATATATGCAGCCCACTGGCAACCATGGCAAAATTTAGATGTAGTAACCCTTAAGGTAAATAATGTATATAAAACTATAGCCATAGAAATACCAATCATACAGGACGACCCAGAAGGAGAGGGATCCACGTTTACTTGTGGAATAGCAATGAATGTGACTTTTGCCAGATCATGGTTTCTACCAATGATAGCACAATCATACCAACTGATAGGAACCATATATAATAAAACACAAGAGTTTGAGGAACAGGAATTTGAATATCCATTAGGAGATTATAGAGGAGATTATACAGAAACAGAAATAGAAAGCACAGAATCAGAAACAAGTACCACACAACAACAAATAACAACAACACCATGGATAGGCAGGAAAGATTTAGGGAAGATGGAAAAAGACAGACCCTACCTAATTAAAAAGGGCATACCAGAATTACCAGCCCCATGGGGAAGCAAATGCCCAAATAGTTTAAAACAGTACATTAATGAAACAAACTTCAACGGCTCAATTCTATGTGTAGCCGGATTCCCAAATTTACCATTTTATGGATACTTAAAACCAATGCATAGATTAGATGGCACTCAGATACCCGAGGCACCCTATATAGAGCTACTAGACAATCAGTTTTGGAACTGGACAATTATGGAGAAACTATTACCTTTAGGAATACATCATTGGAGATTTCCAATTGTACTAAATTCAATATTGCCACAATATTATTTAGATTGGAACTTTAATATGTGGAATGAACCAAATGATAAACCTTGGATACCCAAGTTGGTAGACAGAGGAGCAATTAGGAATAGGTCAGATATTTATAGATTATTCACAGCACATTACCCACAAGGATACCTATACCCTCCCCCAGACAAAGAACCAACATTAGTCAGAGCACCCATGATAGTGCCAGACCTAAAATCACCAGCAAAAGTAATATTATACCCAAAAATAAGGAAAGTAAGCCTAAAAATAGACCTAGCAATCCTTAAACCACCCAAATATTATTGCTCAATAATGGACAATACACCACAATATAATGGCCTGTATTACACCACTCCAGTAAAGACAGGCAGGAAACCGTTACAATTTTTGGTATTAGGAACAGTTTTGGCAGGGGCAATTATGGGTGGTCTAATGGGAGGAGGTATATCAGCAGCAATGTTAGAACCAATAAAAGCAGAAATAAAACACATACAAGAGACAAACAGAATGACATCAGAAGCCCTAGCAGCAATATCAGATTCAATAGATTCATTAAATTTGTTAACTCAACAGATGAGGTCAGAAATAGGAATAATAAAAGCAGAATGGCAAAGTCATCAGACATGGAATGAAGTAGCAATAAGACAAAACCACAATCAGATAATGTGTTTACAATATCTAAGAGCAATAAATCAAGCAAAAAGTGAACTAGACACCCTATTCATAACCGGAATAGGTAGACAAACACCAGAGTTCCAGACCCTATTAGATCCTAGCGAGGAGAGTACGTGTGAAAATGGATTTTGCAATCTGAATGTAATACAGATATTCACACATAATGCTTTCCACGCATACCACACCAGACCAGTACCACAAACATGGGATAGCAAATTAGATCCATGGAATAGTCTAAGTTACACCACATGGGTAACACCAATGGATTATTTCTTATGGATAAATATGAATGGTACACCAGCATATATCCCACAAGAAGAATGCCTAGGCATGGGGGTTAATACATTCATATACCCTCATATGCCAGCATCCAAGCTAACAGAGACTAGACTAACAGCAACTACCATGTCAGACACAATACAAGACATGGGAGATTGGACATGGATGATATGCTCCAATACAAACAAAAACCTAATATGTACTAACTTAAATAGACAAACCCTAAATGATACCAAAACCACATTAATAATAAACCCAGGATGTTGGATGTTGCATAACTGTTCAGTAGTGGAAATAGAATATAAAACATTAGTAACAGAAATATCAATAAGAACAAAACATACATATGTGTCACTAACACTCTAATTACAAGACTTGGAGAAACAGCATTATGACACATTCATCAAGAAAACACAAGAATTACAGGTAGCCTCAGAATACAATGAGAGACAGCTGCAAAATATACATAGGAAAATAGAAAATGCAGAACAGTCATTATTAAGAAATAAAGATAAGATACATAATTTGGTGGGATTAATTAGAACAAATACCTATATACATAAGGATTGGAATAAAAACATGAAAGAATGCTCATTTTTTGATATAATGGCTAGAATGATCAGATTAGATTTTGTATGCCTACCAGTTTATCATTGGTGGCATTGGATTAAGGAAAGCATAATGATAATAGGAATGTTAATTGTTTTGATAATATGCTTGAGATTTATAATGTGTTGCAGAGAAAGAAAAAAGATATGACTCATTATGAAAGCAGAAAACCTGCAACTGGAGGAAACAGTATAATCCATCAGGAACAAGATGCGACCTACTTCAGCCCAGAGGACCAGAAATATTGCTTAAACATTACTATTATAGATATCTTGATGTGATTAGAGATTTGGTGAAAACAATGGGATATTCATATCATAGTGTGAATCAATGTAACTTTTGTAACTATAGATTTGCTGATAGATTCTTGTCAGGAACACCAGAGCATGATACCTTATGGAACTTAGTGGAACATCATGTTCATCATCCACGAAAATATGTAGACAGGAATCCCTTTGAAACCATGCTACATATACTAGCATCGATCCTTTCAGCTTATGTTACCAAAGGATCTCATAACCACTATCAAATATACAGAGCTATGATAAGACATGATCCTGAAGGAGCATTGAGACTTCTAGAAGGAGATTGGTATTGTGCCAGCCATTTAGAAAATAAATTCACAGCACAGAGTCTCCAAAGCTTTTGCCTTAGAAGATTACTAAAACCCTTTATAGAAGAAATAATTAAAGAATTTGCAGCTTATGTGCATTGGTATGAAATGTATAAAAATTACAAAATTATGACAAAACAGAGTTTGCATTTTAAATTTAGAAGATCATTTATGCTTATGACTAGAGGTGCAAACATGCCATTATACCCAAAAACAGTTCAGGCTGAAATGAGTGTAAACCCTCGTGTTGCACCGCCAGATAGTCCAGAATCAATGAACACGGACTGATAGTGATACCCTTTATGTTGACTACATTTCGGGTATCAGGGGGTGGAATGTTATGAGTCTGTAAGGATAAACAAGCCCAGGAATGTTAAGATGAAATATTAAGTGACACACAAAATGAAACTAAAAAGTATGAAGCAATATGTGCAGTGGTGATAAGAGTTTGAGCTGGTGAACAAGTGTGACGTAACTATATGATAAGCAGACATGTGTGTTAATCTAGAATTAAGAAAGTAAAGTAGCCACGAACAGTATAAAAACTTGAGGCTCACGACCAGAAGACATTCTCAAAATGACTTGCTAGACATGCTGTCAGAGCGGTCATAGAGAATCCAACGAACCAGCAACTTCACAGCTGAGACTGTCCAAGAGCCAGAGAACTAGCTCTTGCCTGCGGATCAAGACTTGCTGATCCAGAGGCCTACGTCGAGAGCCACGGACCATTATCAGGTCGTATACACCAATGCCTCAGTAAGACAGAATAGAAGACCTTGCCTAGGACATAGGAACCCTTGTTGAATGTGCAATGTGATTGAAGGTGTGATGTGATTGATTGACTAGGATTGTTATAGTTTTGATGTTTACTTATATCTGCCATAGGAATAACTAGAGATTTAAATGATTGTTATAGTTTTGATGTTGCCTACACCTGCTATAGTAACAATTGGAGATTTGACTATTGGCATAATAAACTTGTTCCTAGAACAAACACTGTGATCATCCTGGGTATTTACTTGCAGACCTCTAAGTAAGGGCAGAATGCCTGCTCAGGAATAAGGCTCGCGACACCTGCTTGTTTATTTTTGTTTTTCTGGGTTCTCAGGGGCCCCTACCATTTTAGGACCTATCACCTCTGGAGCCACAAGTGTTTGGCTAGGTTTACAGTACCAAGCATGAGTTCCTTTTTGTTTTGTTTTTTTTTTAAAAAAAGATTTCTTCATTTATTATATATACAGTGTTTTGTCTGCATGTGTACCTACACGCCGGAAGAGGACACCAGATCCCATTACAGATGGTTGTGAGCCACCATGTGGGTGCTGGTACTCAGGACCTCTGGAAGAGCAGCCAGTGCCCTTCACCTCTGAGCCACCTGTCCAGCCCTATGAATTCCTTCTTGTGGAACAGGCCTCTGATTGAAGTAGAAGGGGTTTGGTTAACCCCGTAACAGCTCTGCCACTATTGCAGTAGGGCACATCTTACCTGCAGGTTGGTATTGTCATTCACGGGGACTCACATCTACATGGTTTCTCCTCCAGTGATCTGCCAGCACCTTTGGCACTATGAACACTAGCCAGCTAGGAGGAAGTTTCTAGGTCAGCTCCAGACTGGTTTCTCTGTGTCCTGTCATCAGAGTGTGTACTATCTTCGTCAGTCCAGTCTTACCATCTGTTTCTGTTTGGCAGCCAGGATGAATGGTGAGAGCTTGTATTGTTTTGGGAGGCCTCTGGAGCCTCATAACAGCACCTGGCATTGGGGCTTTTGTTTAATAACCTATGACTTCTGGGAGCAGCATTAGCCATCCATGTAGGATACTTCATTAATTTTTTTCATACTCTAAAAAAGAATAGCTTACAGAATAATGTGTTCCTACATGTTTCTCATACATCTTTGGTTTTGGTTAACCTTTCCCCACTCCCCTTTCCCCATTCCCCATTCCCACTCAGATTTTTCCGCCCCTGGTATTCTTCTCTATTGCCATATTACCCATGTTGCACTACCCCCTATGTTCCTTAAGCTCCTTAAAATATTTTCTCTGGTTCTAGGATAAAACAGCTGCCTGTGTATTTTTTAAAAGTTTGTTTACTTTTTAAGTCTTAAAAAGGAACACACCTGCACATGTGCCCCACATCTGACAAAGATTCCGGCTTATGGTAGATAGCAAAAGAGTGTCTACTGCTTTTCATTCTTGTTAGCTTTCCAGGCATAAGGAGAGCGCTTTCTTAGTAGCTGTGGAGGGCGCTACTGCTGCAGAGTTATTCTTCAATCTCCAAACCTCGAATTGCTACCATGACAAAATAACTCCGTACTGCCGTGAAAAGTTACCGGATTTGAAGCTAGCAGCATGGACATTTACACCTTGACTAGCTCTTGGTTGTAACAACAACAACAACAACAACAACAACACACACACTCACACACACACACTCACACACACACACTCACTCACACACACACACACTCACACACAC